AAAGGGCAATAATGAACCACCGCTTCGTGGCAAGCTGTCGGTGAGTAGCGACACCACAGGGTCAGTAGTTGTTAATCCGAGTGCTCCCAAGAGTCGGTCAAGACCCTCGTCTTCGGCTTGCCGAAGTGGAATCCGAGAGGGTCTGCAGGACTTTCACCTCTGGCTTGCCTTAACCGGCTTGCCAGAATGGAGTCGCTTGAGCTATATGCTCCAGGGGTGGAAGTGTAAAAGGGCATAACGCCCCCGCCGCGATTAACTTAGGAGAAAATGCAGCACACACCTCTCTACACCCCTGAGCTGCAGACGTATGTTGCCCCTCAGTCCGACAATACGACTCATGACGCCATTGCCCAGCGGAAGTCTTCTGTTGGGCGCCCGCGCACGTTAAGTATCGAAAATTAGTTTACACAGCGCAAGCAGATTGCCGCGGCATGCCCGTCATGCATTGCTATGCATTCATAGGCAGGCGCACGCAGCGGGCCCCCACTCTGAGGTTAAACTGAGGCCCCTAGAGTATAACTCAGGATCTTTGTTTATGGTTATTGCGAAGTAGACGTTGATGGGAAACTGCACTCTCTTAAATTCTAAGCCTAAGGGGTAATTTCATGGTGTTAGGGGAATCTTTACCAGATCGGCGGTCCACCTAGTAGGAGGCCTGCCCACGCTACGTCTTCCAGCCCGTGGTCGCCACTCGAGAACTTTCCTGCCCGAACGGCCATCATCTCTACGAGCTATGTGCCCCGCCCACTGCCACTTGATTTTATTATATTGATTGCGGGAAGGGCCTGGATGCGGGCTGCGCAGGACCGTTCATTGTGGAAAACCTTGGGGGAGGCCTTTGTCCAGCAGTGGACGTCATTTGGCTAAAACGACTACGAGGGGAATGTTAGGAATAAATACAGACTCTCTTCTAGGACAACGGATACTGATTGCTGAAGTCACCCTGTATAGTTACCTCGATTACATTGTGATGCAATGTTTGCACTTGGAATATGACATTGGGTTTTCAATATGACAATACGAAACACGTCTTCCATGAATTCTGAAGATAATCTACAATTTTATTCAAAATTGAACAATGGGACATTATGTTTGAACTTTATCCCCAGAACTGTAGCACTTTATTTGATAGTACCTACCTACCTTATATGATAGTACATGCTAATACTATAATTTTATTATAATATTAATAGGTTAAATATAGATTTACTCGTTTAATGCGTATAAAGTGTAGTTTCGATGTTGTGGAATCATATTCGAAAAGTAATAAAATTTTCGAGGTCGCGTCTAATAACAATTTCAGTCTTTGATAATTCATTATTATTTACACGCAAACCGGTTGTTATTGCTGAAAGTGCAATACTTAATAATGACCTTTGAAATATAATAATATGTCCCTGACAGATAAAATGCCTGGTTCGCGGTTCGGTAAATGCACGGCAAAGAGGGACTGAGGAGCAGAGCTAATAGTAGCTAATCGTGTTTGGTATAAGAAATAAAAAAAATCTGACGAGGATTTTGATTTTATTCTACAAATAAAAAATTACATTGTTTCAAAATTTTCAGGGTATACCGGTGCACGTTGGAGCAGACTGTTTAATCACAGATTTGGATCTAAATCTGTGATTTTAGTATTGTTTGAATATTTTCGCAAGAGATCCAAGATTAAGGCTAGGATTTACCGCCTCGATGCCGTGCATTTGTTTACCTCAGCCCCCGCACACCTCGCACTGACACTCGCGCTGACACTCGCGCGACGCGTTGACGCCACAGTGTAAAAACAAACCGTAAGTTGGATGACGGTTTACGTAATCTTCAAATAGTTAATAAATAAATAATAAAATTAAATATCCTTCGACATAATATTTTAACACTGCGCCTCTAGTCTCAAACTAAGCAAAGCTTGTACTATGGGATATGAAAATACTTAAATAACATAACATAAATAAATAAATATTATGGTTAGAAACCGTGCATAGTGCAGTCCACACAGCTTATGACCGCAGTCTGTGGAGGAACACTATCTGTGGTCGCGATCCTCATCAGTGAGGGACCGAGGAAGAAGAAGAATGGTTAGAAAACACCCAGCCCGAAACAAATATTATTATAATGTTCATGCACACAAATGTTTGTCAATCAATAATGTCAAATGAAAGATGATAATATTAAGTCAAACAAATACTTTTTACCGACAAAAATAGTAAATGATCACAAAAATTTAAATTCCATTTTAATATGAAATACTAATGTTCTTTTACATTTTGCTATTCTATTTAAGCAAATGACTCTAAATTAATCATTGTAAACCCAGAAATAGTAAACAATCCTCAAAACAACTTGCCTAGAGGTCCTCGTCTGACCTTTTAGAATTTGTAACTCAGATTCAAGCAGTAAACTTCTAAAATAATTATTTATGGTATCAATTAAATAACTGTATCGCCATCTAGTTTTATAATTCAGCATGTTTAAAAATTTGTGAAACATCAGAATTGATGACTCGCCTTATATTCTTTCATCATCAAAAAGTACCTAAAATTATCATCTAATTGTAAATTATGGCAACTATTTCCTCATAATTATTTGAAAATATAAGGCAAAAATGTTTAAGTTTTACAAAACTATGAAGAGCAGATATCTCGAAAACCATACAAGATATTATCGAAAAACTTGACTGATAAAAGTAGTAAATTAAATGAGTTTTCATTTTGTTGCAATAGTCATATCGCTAGGACGCATAGTTATTTATTTAGACAGTTTCTGAGATATAAGCGAAAAACCCAATAATGGGACCTTCAAAGGCTGCGATCGAGAACTTTTGTCATTCACTTAAGTTACAAGTGTTTTATAAGTTCGGCGATTTTTGTTTGTTAGGAAAAATGGATAAAAAAATCAAAATCAAAAATATTTATTCAGTTTAGACCACAAGTGGCACTTATGAACGTCAAAATATAGTAAATAATAAAAAAAAGAAAAGGTAGCCCTTATGGGGTACTATACATATGTCTCCTTACCTTTTGGGCCCTACCAGCGCTTCGACACAAACATATGGCAAGTGCTGAGAAGAAACGCCGGAACAAACTCCTTACGATCAAAGAATTTGAATCAAGTTTTGCTTATAAAATGAAATTAAAAGTGTTTGAAATGTTAAAAATGGACTTTGGTGAGTCTGCTGTGAGTGAATCAAGGGTTTACGAGTGGTAAAATCGTATCTAAGAAGACCATGAAGGCATAGAAGATGACGAGCGCTCTGGACGCACCAGCATATCAACAACCGATGAAAATGTGAAAAAACAGAAAGAAGTGGTTATGAAACACCGTCGAATCACAATTTTATTGGGGAAGATGCTGATGATGTTAGCATATCGTTTGACTCCATGCTATGAATATTTTTTGGATTTTTGTCGGTATGAAACACATGGCAACAAAATTGCTGAATTTTGAGCGAAAGTGGCGGCAAATTTTTGCTAAAACAATACTGTAACAATGTTCCAGTCTCCAAATTTACCAGAAATGGCTGTGTATGACTAGTTTCTATTTCCGTGAATAAAAATAACTTTAAAGGGTCATCGTTTTACAGACATAAGTGACATTAAACACGCGTCGCCGATCGATGTAAAGGCTATCTCAAAGATCGACTTTGAGAAGTATTTTGAGAATTGGAAGAAGCGCTAACACACGTGTATAATGTATAATAGGGACTATTTTAAAAGTTTAAATACTAATGTAGATCAATAAATAAATACTTTTCTGAAAAAACGAAAATTCCCGTTATTTTTTTAACAGATTAGTACATAGGGTTGCCAGGTCCAAAATCACAAAAGCCGGACTCTGTGCCTCATTTGGCCGCACATTTTACTTTAAAATTAGTGTCATAACTCACGAAGTACTATCATCATCGGTTGCCCAACATCCTGATGCGTGCGCATGATATTATTCCGTAGCTCGGATTTCTTTCGCATAAAAAGCCTAACAAAAGCCGGACAGGCTGGACAAGACAATATTTGGCCAGACAAGACCGTAAAAAGCCAAACATGTCCGGCTAAAGCCGGACACCTGGCAACCCGATACATACATATATAAATGATGTCATATTAATCAAATTTACTAAATCATAATTATTTCATAATAACCGGTAATTATTCATAATTTTTATCACATTTACCGTAACATATAAATCAGGAGGACAAGTCATAATAAATATTGTTCTTTATTTGACGCTTTCTTTGGAATAGTTAAGTGGCATTTAAAAGAAGGCGAATTAGTATATTAGAACTTTAGAAGCCTTTTATATTCCCGTGGCTTAGTTTTAAAATCAAGGTTAGATACCGTGGAAAAATAATAATAATAAACAAATTTATTTCTGTATAAAAACAGCCTAAAATATTATTATATCAGAGGCTTGACTCACAATTTCCCATAAATAAATTAATTTTAACTCATTGGTTTTATTTTGGAAAATGTACTATGTATCATGATTGAAAATTCTTAGCTTTCTCCAGTAATACTGATATTATTATACTGTGACTCGCCACCCGCCAGACAGAGGCGATTTTGTCAAAAATATTGACAAGTCGCGAACTGTCACAGGAATAAAACTGACACGCGTCCGTCCTCCGTAAGCGCCACCGCGCGACTGATTAAGATTGTCCAAGCCGTCATGGCCGATTTTTTCACATTTTTTCAACATAGTAACTAAATAAGACGCAATAACAAAAGTTTGAAAAGTTGTCGACCTAGAAAATACAAAGTCCTATCTATTAGTATATATTTTAAGTGTAAAATGTTAAAAATGAATATATGAGAGTAAAACAAAAAAGCCGTCGACGTACTTCTTTGGGATTTTTTTTTATCGGACAAACTATGCAATATCGTGTTTTGGAAAAGTTGTCGCCCTAGTTAAAGACATTAACTTACTCGTACAATTTTTTGTTTGCTAAAATATCTTTTCATTTAGAAGCTATCTGCAAACAAAATCGGTCAAATATCGACAATTTGGGAAATCATGGCCTTAAGGTGAACAAGTTTTCCCCCATATTGTTTCCCAAAACGAAATCGATGTGGTTGAAGAGGGCCCTTTCCATCTCGTGGTAGAGCACCACGTTAGGCAGGCGCGCGCGTAACTGCGCCACGTCCTGCACAGTGGCCAGGTCGTCATTCTTCCCCACTAGTAGCGCCACGGGCAGGCGGACGTTCCCCAACTGATAGTCAGGCGGCTCCGCTGAACCATAAACTCGATAATTCCCCACCAAACCGTAATCGAATTTGCAAAACCTTCTCTTAACAGCTACCTGCGCCAAGTGGTCCCCATTCTTTGTAGACACAGCATCAGGATAGTGCCCGGCCAGTATTGGAATAAACTCCGGGTTTAACGATTTTGGATCATATCCAGCGAACGAAAATATTAGTGACGCGCGTACACAGAAACTCAATTAATATTTTCAATGTGGAATTTCTGAAAAACAGTTCAAATATTCCTGATAACTGAAGCGAGGTGCTCAGCTGGGGCCATGCGTCTATCGCGGTGGGTACGATCCCCCTGGTGTGGTGCAAGTAGCAGACGGGGCCCAGAGCGATCAACAATTTTATTTTATCGTTGTACTCGGGTTTTTCATCAGTGAGAATATAAAACAAAGTGTATAAAAAAAGTATATAAGTAGTATATCCGTTAAGCTAGCACCCATAACACAAGCATTAAGTTGCTTACTTTGGGGCTAGCTGGCGCTGTGTGAAATTGTCCAAAGATTTATAAAAAAAAAAAAAAAAAAAAAAAAAGTGTTGCCCTGAGAATGGCCAACAGCTTGTAATTGCTTTTGTCCTGTTTTATTTAGGATATGATTGATGCTAGCGGGGAGATCATAAACACCTAATTCGTGTTGACTGAAATTCCAAAAGGCTGTTTTATCTATTTCGGGATCAAGTGTCAAATGGCGGTTGCTATATTTATTGCCCCTGTAGTTGCCTGCCCACACGTCGTACCCACGGTTGGCCAAAGTTATGGCCAAAGAAGCGTTGCCTCTGACTATGAATGTGTCCGAACTGTCGACGATGCCGTGCATCAAGAGTACAGGCTTGGACTTGTCACCTTTGACATTGAACACTGTGAGGATGTATCCATCTTCTGTGATGACGGCATGTTCTTCGCACTCGTGACCATATTTAATTGCGAGTTCCATAAAATTTAATTTTCCATCTTTTGGTAATAAAATGCTTGCAACGTTCGACTGAGTTATTATGCCTTTACTTTGCATTAATATCAAAACCAATGAAATCCATATGCGGCTCATTTTAACTTAGATTAGTTTGCTTGTTACTCCAACGAAATAGTATCGAGTAAGTATCCAAAGACATAATAAATATTACTGATTAAATTAATAAACGCATGAAAAAAGTCTTGCACGTGCATTATGCACCAATGAAACTAAAAAAAAAATACAATCAACTTTACGTATAATATATTGAAAAATATAATTCAATTCCTACATTAAACACGCGATAAAGATACGATAATTGGAGTTTAAAACCATATTACATGATTTTCGAAAAAAAATATTTCTTTTCAAAATTCACTTTTCGTGCCATAACCAGTACTTACTAACCATTGGTTTGATTTTTTTTCTATTCACAGGCTAGAAGAGTAAAGAAACTACTAAGGCTGAGTTGCACCACCTAACTTTGACTACGATAACAGGTGTTTTAATCAAAAATCTGTGAAAGAGTAACAAACATCCAGACATCCAAATTTTCGCATTTTAACATTAGTAGGATTATGGAAAAAAAACCTATAACTTTTTAATTCTTGTAGGTATTTAAAATAATCAAGGTTGAATGCTTATCGTAATCACATCAAAATGCTCATTTTAACAGCGGCTTCAGTGATATTTTAAGGAATTAACAAATTCAAATGATGCAAAATAAAATTATCCAATATTTTTAACTGGGTAATAATGCCACATATGGCATTAGGGTGTGTGTGTATTTTTAGGACAAGTTTTCTGTAAATTAGTGGTCATGGACCTGGAATAGTCTTAGTGAATGCTTCATTTTAAAATATTTAATTTAAAACTATATTTACTTAGGACTTATTTGGGATGAAAACAACTACGTGGCATTCTTGGTTCACTCATCCTGGTTGAATAAAATATGTACATCTGGGGGCACGGCAGTGCCCCCACCAAGTCGAGCAAAAAAGCGGCACGGCCGTACCATCCTTTTCTCGAAGCAATTCAGGCCATTTTCGACCCCCTGTAACTTCGTTGTGGATAAAACTAGAAGACTGAATTTTCAGTAACCATGTAGGCATTGTAAAGACACGGTATATTTCAAATTTCATTCAATTTGAACCAGTAGTTTAAGAATTATAACGGGTCAAAATTTCTTAATTTTGTCACTCACTGACTCACCGATCATCAAAACTCTAAGGCACTTCTAGCAAACCTAGAAGCTTCAAATTTGGAATATAAGTAGTGTTTGGTGTATGAATCAAGGAAAAACTAAAATATTTGGGGGCACGGTAGTGCAACCGCCAAGTCGAGTAAAATTTTTCAATTTCGGTCTAGTTTTTTATAGATACATAACTGCACTGTCTACAAAATACAAAAAGAAATGAGCATCAAAAACAATACTTGTCAAAAAACCAAAGTCTCGCAACTCAGTTGTTCTACGGTAAAAAGTTGTGAGATCCATGTAATACCAAGTCCAGGCCAGGAAATCTTTAACGTTTTACATAAATTATTGACTTGGCCATCGCACTAAATGATTTAATTTACACGTGTTTTCATGCGATGGCCAAGTCAATATATTTATGTAAAACGTTAAAGATTTCCTGGCCTGGACTTGGTATTACATGGATCTCACAACTTTTTACCGTAGAACAACTGAGTTGCGAGACTTGGTTTTTTTGACAAGTATTGTTTTTGATGGTAGGTATTTCATGTACCTACTTAGTAACGAACTATATTTTATCTGCATGTCTTTGACCTTTTTAAAAAAGTATTGTGTACGCATGTGTAGGTACGTTATATTAAATGAATAATTACAACGTACGCGTAGTAAGGTAAGTATAGAACTATCTGGGTGTGTTCTTTTTACTTGAATCTAATTTCTGAGACGCAGAGGGATTACAAACAAAACTAATTTATTATTTTCTATATTCTTTAAGCACGTCGAATATGAGAGGGAATAAATAATGACCCATATTTTTACCCCATACGAAATCTATGTGATTCATGAGGTCGCGCTCCATAACATGATAGTATACGACGTTGGGCAACTGACTCCGCAGGCGCTCAACGTCCTCCAAATCGGAAATATAATCGTTTTTGCCTGCAAATATTGCTATGGGCATAGATACTTTATTTAAGTCATAGACGGGGGGAAGCGGGGAACGATACTTGATGACATTCTTGACTACACCGTAATCAAAATGTGCAAAGTTCTTTTTGGATGCGAGCTGAGACTGGTGGTCCGCATCCTTGCGCGACGTGCCCGCCGGGAAGTGCCCGATGACCACGGGGAAGAACTCCGGCTCCAGCTCGTCTGGATCGTTACCCGTCACCGGGAACACAGCACCTTTGGCACATAAGTCGTAGCCAAGACTTTGAGTACATATCACTTTGGTCACCCCGTTCGGAATGATGGAATCAGAGCGAAATATTTCTTCAATGCCGAGCAATGCCAAGAAATCGCTGACCGTTGGCCACACTGCCGCAATCACAGCGGATAACCCTTTCACATGATTCAGATGACAGATGGGAGCCAGTGCAATCATTATTTCAATTTTATCGTTATATTCTGGTCTGTCCGATCCTAGCACGTAGAACATTAAGTTGCCTTGGGAATGCCCGATGACCGGTAACTTGGTCAGATTCGTCAAATTAAGAACGTAGTCTATCGTGGCAGGTGCGTCGTATACACCAAACTCGTGGAAACTGAAATCCCAAAACTTTTTTTTATCCTTATCTGGGTCCAAAGAAGTGTGTCGCCTGCCGTATTTGTTTCCGCGGCAATTCCCGAACCAAACGTCGTATCCGTCGGCAGCCAAAGCGATAGCTAGAGAACTCTTGCCTCGTATTATAAATGTATCCGCAGAGTCGAGGAGTCCATGCATCAGGAGGATCGGTCGAGATTTGTTGCCGGGAATATTGAAAATCGTCAGAATATAGCCGTCCTCGGTGACCACGTCATGCTCCTCGCACTTCTGGCCGTACTTTAAGGCTAGTTGTGTGAAATTCAGCCTTCCATCTTCCGGAATATTCGCTTCAATTAAAGAGTAGTTTACTCTACTGTAGACACACTGAGCCAAACTCACGGTTACTAACAGCGTTGGTACCACGTACTTATGTAGTCTCATCGTCACTGGTGAATTAACTAATTACAAGTTTATCTTGCCTCTTTTATACTTACAGAAAATTTAAATGTTTAGATAGCTGTAACTATTGTATTAATTTGTCTTTTCAATTCTAAATTAGCAGTGAAATAATTATGCATATAGGTAGCTCATGTAAGTACGAAAAAAAAGATAAGTAACAGAATTAATTTTCATGAAAGTAACCATTGCAACTGCAACAAAGATGCAATTTTTACTCCCAGCTAATACTAAGTATTAAGGCTGATATACACGTATTAAGTAGGTAATTTTAAGTGATCAAGCAAGTTGCATGTAAACACGATTTGCAACTTAAAATTTAGCTGTTAACTAAATTTTAACTTGCAACTTGCTACTAATTTCTGTGATTACCTACGTGCAATTAATCACATAAATAAAAGTATATATACCTACCTACTAAGTTAAAATTTAGTTATCTACTTAACAGCTTAATACGTGTAAATCAGCCTTAAGAACGTATAGAAGGTGGATTCAATAGGTAAGTAGAAGTGATTTTGTACGAAGCACATACGGAACCCTATTTACCTATGCGACTCTGTTTCGATCGATTTTCATTCATGCGTAAAATAAAATTCGAAGTCATGTGTTGGCCATGAACCCAGGTTACAAAACGTAACCTGCACTGCCTTCTCCGGTTGCTAAAGCTAGGCGACTATATCTACCTATGCATTATAAGTGTCGGTTTAAACCTACCTCCTACCATTTACCTGACACTGTATGCAAACTTTTTTAATCGCAAAATATAGTCTAATGTAATTTAATTGTATCAAAAAATCAGCTGTAATATCCAATGTACATTTAAAACGCTCTGTGCATCCCTATGCACCTGCACTGCCTTCTGCCCCCTACCTAGGGGAGACACCATGCACACAAAGAAAATCTTCCATTGTTTCAAAAATAAAACTATTATAAAAAGCTAGACAATAACGAGTTTCTTCAGTTTAATTAGGTAGGTATTTATATGAAAACGTAATTTCCTAACAAATAAATAAAGCAATTTATTATCTTCTTGTCCGTGAACATTTTTTTGGAGGCCCCTGGGCTATGCTATAGCCCCGGTTGCCCTCCCCTAAATTCGACTCTGAATCTGACCCTACATCAGTGGCGGATTTACAGTTTTGCCGCCCGTAGGCTAGGGTGGGGTTGGATCTTTATTTAACTTTTATCTTCTGAAATCGAGTAAGCGTCATCTGAAATCTGCCGCCCCTAGGACGCTGCTGCCCCTAGGCCGCGGCCTATACGGCCTATTGACAGATCCAGGACTGCCCTACTTCATTTCACAATTTACCCTCTTTCTGGCGCAGTCGGGCTTGGGTAAAAAGTGAGTGGGTAGATGGAGTTAGGTCAGCAGACAACAAACTAATTACACTAACCTGCAATCATTCAGCAGTCAGCACTGTTTTTCAGCAGCAGGTGACAGCGAACAACAGCAAAGCAGGATGTTTTCAGCTTCTGACAGAGGCACTCCGTTTTCTTCGAACATTTAGTCCAAGATTGCACTGCACGGCACTTAATGTATACTCACAGCAACGTTTTTAACACAGATCAGAGAGTCTGTCTAGTTTTTAAGGGATAGTTTTATATAGAAATTATTGTCATGGATGCATCACCACGAGTCCACGACATTACACACACGCACAATGTGATTTTGTTTTGTTTTGTAACCGTATGAAATGATGATTGAGTGAACGGATTGGCCATCAATATCGGCCAATAAAGGTCACTACCGGTCAATTGAGATACTTTATATGGACTGTCATTATCACTATTACTTCGTAAAGTTTATGTACGAAAATTAAGTAGGTACATTTTAAAAAGGTACTCACAATATTTTAAATACGATTATTAAATTATTGGTTTAAACTTACCTAGATAGTTAAATAGCACCAAAGAAATTAAGGTGATAATAAGTTTTTCATACATAATATTAATTTCTTCTTCTTACAACTTACCTAACAAGTTTAAATAAATTGTTTGCTTTAACTAGTAACAAGTTTTAACACGTACCTATATAATTATTGTTTATAGTATTTCATCTGGCTATATGTAGGCCTAGTACTTATCTTGATAACACACGCTCTGATGCCCAGTTTGCCCAGCCATAAAGTTGCCCAGCAGACAGTTTTTGAGATTAAAAACTAGCGAAAATAGTATAAATAAATGTATGACCCCATAGGTACTGTTATGGACTTAACGCTAAAATAATTATTAAATGTTTTAACAATGTCAAGAAGCCACAATCTAAAATTGTAGAAGTAGAACATCTCAATGTATGGTTCTAGAAAAAAACAAAAATATAAGTAAAATTTAAAAAAGTCTACCTACACAAAAATCTATATTATTACCGTGCTCTACGCTACGGGATTTTGCAACAAACTTTTTTAAAGGTAAACAGATATTTTATCCTTCCGACGTTGGATGGTTGCACGACTTGCACGCACGAGTCATGGTCGCGGGCAGTCGCGGGCAGACTAAGAAAGAGATGCGGCGGCGTCCGCGTCGCGTCTGCTCGGGCGCAATGAATTTTCTTCACCCACCCGCATTTGCACAATTTGATTTTCGTCCGTGGTACAGTCAGTCCGACAAATTGCACTAACAATGTCCAAGGTTCTTTGAGACGGCCTAATGATCTAATCTAGCCTAAAATGATCTAATCTAGCCTACGTCGTCTACGATCGTAAAATCTAGTCTCAGAAGAGCGAGGAATAAATCAAATTCATATTTATGGAACGCACCCTATTGATGCAAGAGTTCTATGCGCTTACGTCAACTCCTTCCAAAGGATATTTTGTAGGTCCTTCATTTGTCGAATATCGATATCGATAGATTAAAATGTGGTGTGTGAAATAATAACAAAGTAAATACAAATGAGTAGGTCATCTTCATAGAAACAACTCCCCGCTAATCCACGCTAAATTTTGTCAGTGTGTGCGTGCGCGCCGCATACGTATCGGCGCGCTTACATACAAACCGAACCGCGCTCGGTGCGTTTCTATGAAGATGACCTACTCATTTGTATTTACTCTGATAATAATGTTACACGTAATAGATTAAATAAGGGCTACCTTTTCTTTTTTTTATTAATTACTATATTTTGAGTTCCTAAGTGCCACTTGTGGTCTAGACTGAATATTTTTGATTTTGATTTTTTGATTTTGAATGAAAGCAGGAAAACCAGTTTTTAAAAGATTTAAGTGCTATGCAAGTGTTACGAGCAGTTTAAGAAATGGTATTTTTGTTCTATGATAATAAAAAAAATACAACCTAACTAGTTTTAACACGTCTGTCCTAATAATATGTTCCTATCAGACCGATATCAATATACAAGATGATTGTTTGAATTGGCCGCTGCTTTCTTTCTTAGTGCAGAGACTGCCAGAATAAAATTGTACATGTGACATCTTTTGGAAATAAATACGTTTTCCCTTTTTTTTACTACAATCTCCTAGAACTTAATTTACTTAATTACGTATTACGTAGTCTTCATACAAGCGCTTTGTGTTAAGTGAGGCAAAAATCAAATGTCATCAACTGTCACAACTTTGTTTTGTTATTATTTATTTATTTATTTATTGAAAAATATACACCAACGACATATAACTATACATATAACAATAATACAGTGTTGAGTAGGTACAATATTAAAATATAATTATGCCTTTACAGGTGGATACATCATTTCCCATTATCGAACGTTGACTCGAGTTTAAAGTAGGACATTAATTAAAGACAAAATTAAGAAAAGAAACAATAAATATTAGGTACATAATATTAATTCCACACACTTCCTCTTGAAGCGGCGCTCCGATTCATCAAAGATATCGATGTCAGCAGTATTAATATCATTGTAAGTGCGTATATCGATACCTCTGGGCTCAAAGGTCGTAAAGGACAAAATACCGAAAATGAGTTTTTTATACAGTTGTACTCAGAATTTAATTCTCTATCGATCTGTATATTTAGTTTGTCGAAATTCTCAAAAAAAGTGCCTTTACGACCCATCATATTTGATAAGCTAAACAGAATTCATAGTGAAAATTGGGATGTAAATACCATTTGATTTTTTAGTACAGTTAGCATGGTAGTAAAGAACAAGTAAACACAAATTTTTGGGCGTATAATGTACATGTAGTATAATCTATTGTCCTATACAACCCAAATTTTCATACCAAAGTCTAAATAATTTGTCCTTTACGCCCTTAGATTATTTAAATAAATATTTTAAAAATTTACAAAGAGATGATATTAAAACAACTGAGTAGGTAAATTTTATAGACGTTTCTTATTGTATTTAAGTATGTGCGTTTAGAACAAACGAAAGAACTAAAAAATCATCAAAAATATGTAATAAAACTATTTTAGAGTGTAACGTTTATGTTTTGTAGGTACATTAAAAAATGATGACATTTATCCACATCGGGTAAAGTAATGATACTTTTTATTATTTCTCATATTTGACGAAACTAGGTATTTGTCAGGTAAAAGATAATTAAAAGATGATTTAACAAAATGAAAACATGCTATAAAATAACGTATTGCCTAATGAAGTTAGAATAGTCATCAAACAAATTTGAAAAATGAAAAAGCTAGATGAGAAAAAGAAGTCCCCTTACTGTAGTATCATAAGGTGTCATTATTACCCGACTGCAGAAGGAGGGTTATGTTTTTTCGAGTGTATGTATGTTTTGTCTAACGTTCTTTTGAGTTTTGACTGTAACAATTATAATAAATAAGTATAGTTTCTAAAGTTATTTGGATCAGCTAATAAAGTATAACTAGTAGGAAAAATATTTACGCTTAACATGGGAAAATATTTATAGTGTCAGTTTAGACTTAATGTACTAAAAAGCGTGAATGCACTTTTTTTCGAAGTTATATTTTTATATTAAAAATAATTGGCTTTTAAAAACTGTAATAGATAAGAATATAGTGAGTGGATGTAAGTACTTTACTGGAATGAAAAACTTCCTACTTGTAATCTTACTTACCTAACATTTCTTCTTTTGTACCAAGTACAATGACATAATTTTAAGCTGTTATGAATAACAATGTTTGTTCTATTTAGAATAATCATAGTTTGGTTTTCGTTTGTCCTTATAATTGTATCCTATCTGCAGTATCATAAGGTCAACTGGTTGATAGACTGCCCTATCGAATTAAGTCCGCCATTTGTAGTTTTTCGAAACAATAATAATGATTAAATAAATAAATAAAATTAAATTGGTTTCGGCTTTTCGTGTAAAGTTTTATTAAAAAACGTCATAATATTTATTTTCTAAAATCGCTCTCATATCGGAAATGGTATCTATTCTAGTTCGAAGACATAAAATTTCTGCTTGCTTAAATAATAGTTTCATAAATTGTGTGCATTAAATTTTGAAGCCACGAAAAATCATTTTAGTTCAGTTAAAATACCATAATTCATTCAAAATATGTGAAGAAATGGTATATTATATATCAAATACCATAAAACATTAAATATTTAAGCTAAATTATCAATTTTCCCTTGCATAATACCTTACCTGGGTGTTCCGTTACGACCTATGAAAACCTATAAAACTATGTAAATTGTCCTTTATTACCTTGATTTTGTAGTTTTGTAAAATAAAAATAGACTTACGCCCTGAGTAACTTGCCTGGGACGAATATTTGAGGGGCGTAAAGGTCTTTTTATTGTAATTTTAAGGGCGTAAAGGAAATCTATCTCAGTAAATACTGCCCTAGTCCAGTTTTTCAATACCTCTTCGGAAAATGCTGTGAATTCTAAGCACTTTCTTCTTAGATCATATTTTAATAGCTCAAAAAACAAAAAAGTTATTGTCGAATAAAAAAATAAAAAACCGTTTTTTGCTTCTCCTGAAAAGTCGTACTTTGTCCTTTACGACCTTTGAGCCCAGAGGTATCGATATGTTACGGTCAAAGTGATAAATGTGAAAATTATGAATAATCGCCGGTTATTATGAATAATTACCGCATGATTTGGTAAATGTGATTAATATGAGGTCATTTATGTGTGTATAAAACTAAATAGGCGGCTTAGGGGTGGCCCAAGGGCCACCCCCGCCGCACCTTAACCTATTTTTCACTTTAAATCAAAACATTATGTTTATGTTATACATTATGGATTATATAATTTTAAATAATACAATTTTTATGTTATTGTTATTAGTTTTTCTAAACCAAAGCTATGTCATGCCATTAATATTTGTTTAGAACAGTTTATATATAAACTATATTTTAACACTTTATAAATGTTAAGCCTAACTTGTTAACTAGTTTAAACCAGTTTAAACATGTCCGTCCTATTAAGACCGATGTCATTATTTTTAAGGTAATTGTTCGTATTGGCCGCTGCGATACAAGCTTTCCTGCTTAGTGCAGAGACCGCCAGAATAATTTGTACAATATGACATCTTTTAGTAATAAATACTTTTTTACTTTTTACTTTACTTTACTTTACTATAGGCATCATGGAAAAGTAATATTATGCAAGAAACATTCCAAACTCATTATGCCAAATTATATTAATATATGATATCAAAACGTCCAAAAGTTTGGCTGTACACGAGCACGTACACAAGATGTTGTTCTCTTTTATGAAATTTGTTAGTACTAAGGTTGAATTATTAAATAATCACTGTTAAATGTGATTAATTTATCACTTTTACCGCGACTGTCGGTAATTATTCATAATAACCGGTTATTATTAATAATTTTCAATTTATCACATTAACCGTAACATATACACCGGTACAGCGGAGCACAACTACCCAGGTTGGTATTATGTGCAATATAGGCGACTTTTTCAACATCATCAATATCAAAGAAATTCCAATACAACAATTCAACGTTTATACGGTATACAGTACGTTTAGATGTTTCAAATAAATGAATTTATCGATATCGACAAAAATACACCCATCACATCATTATCACCCATGTGCTAGCTGTCAAAACCAGGTGACACAAATGTCACTGTCAAAAACTTGTGCAACCAGCGACTGCAATGTGCGAAACCGAGTTGGCAAATACTGTTTTTTATCAGTATTTACGAGATAAATTCTAATCAGTTATTCTAATTTACTTTTCCACATTACCCGCGGTATTTAAACTTCGTCAGGTTCATAGTATTTGTGCGGTAAAGAAGGGAACCTTATTAGGTTATAGGCCGCAAGTGTCGATTTCAAAATGACTTTTCCTGATGGGAACGGGTCTGCAAATTACGAGGGTTCACGGGGAATTGATCACAAAAGGTGTACCGTGAAACAAGCTTACGAAGATGGTAAGTTACTTAGTCCATGCATTTTTTTGGGATCATAGTTTCAACAGTGAGATAAATGAATCTGGTATTTTTTAAATAAAATGATTTGTCCACGTGTAATGTTGTATTTCAAACCGGGTAAAATATGTGCTTATTATTCATATTCTATAATATCTTTTGATTCTTTTCTAATTCACTATTTTGGACAAGTTTAAGTTTTTAAACACTAATTTAATTAAAGTGTTGATTATTCAAATTGCATGCACACTATGAAATTTTGCAATAGACTTGAAATGTTTCTGTTTATTTTTATTTTAAATAATATTTATTTCATCATCATCATCGTACTGGTATCATTCATACCGGAAAACATCGACATCCACTCACAAGGTGAACCGACGACCTGATAAAGGTAGCAGGAAGGCGCTGAATGCAGGCCACTGCCAACCGTGTGATGTGGAAGTGATTGGGGGAGGCCTATGTGCAGCAGTGGACGTCCTGTGGCTGGTGTGATGATGATGATAATTAAGTAAAACAATTGCACGCCTACAAAGCAACAAACTATTGCAAGAATAAATAGAATTTGTTACTATCAACATATAGAAAAATATTCATAGTAAGCTTATTTATCTAGGCGTTTGATTATCCTATGTCATGCATTTCTCGGTAAAATGTTTCAACAAAGCAAATTCATGCTGCTCCTCTTACAAAATTAAACAACTGAGATGTGTCATCTAAAAATTAATGTCATTTGATTCCCCAAATACCTTATTAACTGACTTCGAAAGAAAAGGAGATGAATCTTTTAAGCTAACATTTAAATATGTACTGTACAAATATTATGAAATTACAGAAATCATTAACTAAATAATATTAAAAGAAAATGTATATTAGAATCCCAACTAATATTATAAATGCGAAAGTAACTCTGTCTGTCTGTTACGCTTTCCCGCTTAAACCTCGCAACCGATTTTGATGAAATTTGGCATAGAGATAGTTTGAGTCCCGGGAAAGAACATAGGATAGTTTTTATCCCGGTTTTTGAAACAGGGACGCGCGCGATAAAGTTTTTCTGTGACAGACAAAATTCCACGCGGGCGAAGCCGCGGGCGGAAAGCTAGTAAAAGGATAAATAGTAAACTTTTTAAAATTACATTACAATATTTACAATCCAACTGGCTTCAAACTATTGGAAAAGTCTTATCAGTTTTTTATCACAAGGTGATATTAGTACAACAAGGTAGTTTGTGATAAAAAAACAATTTATCATAAAACCATTAAAGTTCCTTTTCTTTTATGTGAGTAATTTAACTGCAAATAAAACAACTTGCCCCAACTTCCTACTGCAAAAATATCTATTTAAAAAACAGTGTGAGTGAAAATAAACGGTATTACTAAAAAAAACTTCATAATTCACCTACATTATATCCTATATTGGGAGCATACGCTGACAAACTTTCAGCTTTTATAAAATGACGTAGGTCTGGCGTTCACTAGCTCTAGAAGTCTAGAAGTTTTTGTGTGAAAGAGTGACATACATTCTCATTTATAATAATAGTAGGATAGGCGCGGCGGGCTTTCTACCTGGAAATAGAACAAATACCCACCACACAGATCCGAAATTTGTGCCAATGCTATTGCAAGTGTTGATAAGAGTTACTCATTAACAATATTCAATCGAAATTAATCGTAGGAAAATACAAATTCAAAATTTATGAACAACTTCCTTATTGTGCAACAAAGAGGATGGCTGATTACAAAGGATTATTAAACATATTTTAAGGAAGAGACTCACTGTAGTTGTAGGTACGCGTTATAAAAGCCCTATTAAATAACGTACTATAGACTTTTCTTTCAGCACCAGTAGGCTTAAGATGCGCGCCGCGAAAAGCGTTTCTCGCGTCATTATATCGATTTTACGAGATAAGCACATACACTTGACGTTCAAAACCATCGATAAAACTATCACGGCGCGCATCCTATTTTGGCAGGTGTGGCATAAACCATAGCAAAGCTAGCATCGCGTATCTTACTACATATATCATCCAGTTCAATGCCTCTGACTGCTCAAAGCTGGCATTCATTGGTTTGTACTCAGAATCAATTACAAATCGTTTTAAATTCGGAGTCAAATGCGACTATTCATATGTAATGTCGAACCAATCAGCGTATGTATTGATTTACAACAGCCATTTATTGATCGGTCACATCTACCAGTTGCGCGAGGTATACCAAGCTAGTCTGTGGTCCGTTGATATCTAAAATGGGGCTAATTTGTAAGTACCATGTTAATATTTTGAGCTATTGTGTTTAACGTCGTGATGACGCAGTTTTGAATTGAAACTGGATTTTCGAAAGGTCAATAGCGAAGATTGTTTTAATTTTAATGTTAAAAATGTCATATTATGAACGTGATTTTGAGTCTACCGAGACCCAAACCGAATTGTAATTAGAATACCTACTGTGTACTAAAAGAGATAAGAGAGAGATCCAGTTATTTTCAGTCTTATTGTCATTCAAAGCGCGTCCGCCTTTTTGTTGTCTGTCTACCCTCTTCAGTGAATTTATGATCGCAGTAAAAAAATCTCACTTTCCACAGAATTATTAGGCAGGCGCTCAGTTCAGACAAAAAGTTTTTATATCAAGTGCATTCATTTAACTGGCGCTTGACTACAGAAGCACATTCAAGTGAATAAAAAGTTATTGATTCGTTCCAGTTGAACGAGTGATTCGCTGTTGCCTGTTACATAAGTTTTGCCATAATACAGATAGAATGTCTGTCTGCTCACTGCTTTACTATCAAAGAATAAATATTTCGATTGACAATCTTCTATAACTACATCAAGTAAGATTTTAATATCAAGACATAAATAAATGGCTTTATTTGAAAGCTAGCTTAAAACAGAAAAAGCCTACCCTAATCCACCTTCTCGGATTTCGATACGCTTTATGTATTCACTTCTTTATAAGTTGGTACTTATAAAAAGTTTGAAAGCAATTTTCAGTTCGAGCAATAAAAAAGAAAAATATTAAAAAATATCGTACTGGCTGGTGAGAGTCGCGCGCGACTCACCGCAAACTAATTTTTTTATTCTTTTCGATTCTCATTTGTTTATTTTAGAAAAGTAGCAGTTTCTTTTCTGGTTGTGGTGTTAGTTGCGATTAATTAATTCATTTAAAACGCATACTCAAAAGTTGCACTGCAGTTCTTGTATGTGGCAAGATGATGTTGATTTACGAGTGAGTACGTATGTCCCAAGTAAGTCTTATATTTATTACTAGCAGCCGCCCGCGACTTCGTACGTGTGGAGTGGCGTGGATCCCGTTTTCCCCCTTACTACATAGATTTTATGTTCGTTTTCAGCCAAATGACGTCCACTGCTGGACAAAGGCCTCCCCCAAGGTTTTCCACAATGAACGGTCCTGCGCTGCCCGCATCCAGGCTCTTCCCGCGACCTTCACCAGATCGTCGGTCCACCTAGTAGGAGGCCTGCCCACGCTACGTCTTCCAGCCCGTGGTCGCCATTCGAGAACTTTCCTGCCCCAACGGCCATCGTCTCTACGAGCTATGTGCCCCGCCCACTGCCACTTGATTTTAGCAATTCTGCGAGCTATGTCGGTTACTTTGGTTCTCCTGCGGATCTCCTCATTTCTAATTCGATCACGCAGGGAAACTCCTAGATCCAGGGAAACTCCACTAGATTTTATGTAGTGAAACATAATAGTATGGCAGAGCCATAGGCAAAGGCTTTTACTTTGTAAGTGGTTGTGTTACTAGGTAAATCGTTGTCTTCGCAGGTGGAATCAAGGCGGGCGCCTCTCGCCTGGCCGGGATCACGTACCGCATGCTGTCCCGGCGCAAGGCAGCCGAAGAAGGAGTGGCCAGACTAGCCCGGGTGCTTTCAGCTTTGGATCTGACCGCGTTAGGGGTGGGCAGTACCCTGGGTGTGGGTGTTTATGTGCTGGCCGGAGACGTGGCGAAAAACTACGCGGGGCCGGCCGTGATATTGTCGTTTTTGCTGGCGGCAGTGGCCAGTGTTTTTGCTGGTGAGTTTAAAATATACTTATTTGTGGTTCAATGACCGTAGTAGACTAGATTATCATCCGATTTAGTTACACAACAACGATTTATTACAAAGACAAATGCACACAGAACTTGTTCTTTCATCGTAGCAATTTATAACTTTTCGCTGTGATACTATTATGTATTCTGTGCTGTGACGTAATAATAATCAAACAAAAGGAAGACCTAAATAGGCTTTTGGAAAACGCAAAGTTTCGTTGGGAAAAACTCCCGTCTCTTTTTCTTTTTTTGTCGGTACTTTAAATTGACAACTACCATCATTACACAATCATTAAGTTACTATCACTTTTAGATTTTTATTATTCATACATATTCTCAGTCATAATTTGTACGTTTTCCATTACATAAATTTTATTATTCCAGGCCCATAATTTGTATGTTTCTCCATAGTTTTGTTATTCCAGGGCTCTGTTACGCGGAATTCGGCGCGCGAGTGCCCAAAGCGGGCTCTGCTTACGTCTACAGCTACGTGTGTGTTGGCGAGTTCATAGCCTTCATCATCGGATGGAACCTCATTCTCGAATATATTATAGGTGAGTGTCAAAGAACTGACTTTATAGCTCACATAATGGTGTGATGAGCAAGTCAGGAACAATCTTTTGTCTAGCAAACAAATAAATGTAATTTTTGGCTATTTAGTAAATCATTTTCTGAGTGTATAACATCGCGATCAAAGGCCAATGACAGGTCGCGCGGACTGTCATGGGTCGCGCGACCTGTCATTGGCCTTTGATCGCACCAGCGATAGTTTGCCGTCACGATGGTGTGGTTGAAGCATAAGGGGCCATCCATAAAGTACGTCACACGAATTTAATGATTTTTTGACCCCCCCTCCGTCATTGTCACAGGTGGTCACATTTCTGAGACCCCCCCCTCCCTAGTGTGACGTCACATGCGTTTGCAATTTCACATCGAAAAATTATTAAATTAACAGCAGTTCCGAAATTAGTTTTATTTCCATTTAAATTAAGTACTTTTTTATGAAATCAACATTNTGCGTTTGCACTTTCACATCGAAAAATTATTAAATTAACAGCAGTTCCGAAATTAGTTTTATTTCCATTTAAATTAAGTACTTTTTTATGAAATCAACATTATATCAAATATTTGAAACAATTGAAATGTGATGTCACGAAACTTAGGACCCCTCCCACCCCTTGTCACACCATGTCACACTTTGTCAACCCCCTCCCCCCCTCTTTACGTGTGACGTACTTTATGGATGACCCCTAACGATGGAAACAAAATACACAATCCTCTGGGTAATTTCGCAAGTTGACTTGCTGGCAGTGGACTTAAAATCTTCGCTTTCTCTATCCAGGTGCAGCATCAGTGGTGAAAGCGCTGAGCGAGTACCTAGACTCGCTGCTGGACAAGGCCATATCCTCGCACCTGCACGCCGCCATGCCACTGGACACGCCGCACCTGGCTCGGTACCCGGACCTGCTGGCTTTCAGCGTCATCATGGTGTTCTCGGGTCAGTCTCATGGTAAACTCTCTCCACCTCTTGCTTAGGAAAGAACCATGATGTACTGGTGCGCTACCCGGATCTGCTGGCTTTCAGCGTCATCATGGTGTTCTCGGGTCAGCCTCATGGTCTACTCTCTCCACCTCTTGCTTAGGAAGGAACCATGCTGGACTGGCTCTCTACCCGGGTCAGTTCACTTTCAGCGTCATCATGGTGTTCTCGGATCAGTCTCATGGTCTACTCTCTTCATCTCCTACCCAGGAAGGAACCATGCTGGACTGGCTCTCTACCCGGGTCAGTTCACTTTCAGCGTCATCATGGTGTTCTCAGGTTAGTTTAATGGTCTACTCTCTCCACCTCTTGCTTAGGAAGGAACCATGCTGTACTGGCGGGCTACCCGCACCTGCTGGCTTTCAGCGTCATCATGGTGTTCTCGGGTCAGTCTCATTGTCTACTGTCGACCGCTTGCCTAGGACCCATGCTGTACTGGTGCTCTACTGGGTTGGATTCGCCTTTGTCGCTGCTGGACAAGGCGATCTCGTCGCACCTGCACGCCGCCATGCCTCTGGACACGCCGCACCTGGCTCGGTATCCGGACCTGCTGGCTTTCAGCGTCATCATGGTATTCTCTGGTCAGTTTAATGGTCTACTCTCTCCACCTCTTGCCCAGAAAGGAACCGTGTTCTCGGGACAGTCTCATCATCATGGTCTACTCGCGACTTCTTGTCCAGAACCCATGCTGTACTTGCGCGGTACCCGGCCCCGCTGGCTTTCAGCGTCATCGTGGTGTTCTCGGGTCAGTCTCACGGTCTACTGTCGACCTCTTGTCCAAGATCTATGCTGTACTGGCGCGGTACCCGGACCAGTTGTCTTTCAGCGTCATCATGGTGTTCTCGGGTCAGTCTCACGGTCTACTCGCGACCTCTTGTCCAGGATCCATGCTGTACTTGCGCGGTACCCGGGCCCGCTGGCTTTCAGCGTCATCATGATGTTCTCAGGTTAGTTTAATGGTCTACTCTCTCTACCTCTTGCTTAGGAAGGAACCATGCTGGACTGGCTCTCTACCCGGGTCAGTTCACTTTCAGCGTCATCATGGTGTTCTCGGATCAGTCTCATGGTCTACTCTCTCCACCTCTTGCTTAGGAAGGAACCATGCTGAACTGGCTCTCTACCTGGATCAGTTCACTTTCAGCGTCATCATGGTATTCTCTGGTCAGTCTCATGGTCTACTCGCGACCTCTTGCCCAGGACCCATGCTGTACTGGGTTGGATTCGCCTTTGTCGCTGCTGGACAAGGCGGTCTCGCCGCACCTGCACGCCGCCATGCCGCTAGACTCGCCGCACCTGGCTCGGTATCCAGACCTGCTGGCCTTCAGTGTCATCATGGTGTTCTCAGGTCAGTTTAATGGTCTACTCTCTCCACCTCTTGCCCAGGAAGGAACCGTGTTCTCGGGTCAGTCTTATCATCATGGTCTACTCTCTTCATCTCTTGCCCAGGAACGAACTACCTCTCGCTCTACCCGACAGCACATCTATCCCCATCACTTAGATGGTAGGCAGTCCACAACAGTACGTTTCTCTAGAAACTTCCTGACCCGTACAACCAACTGTGGAATGGACTGTCGTCTGCGGTGTTTCCGGACCGATGGACCTACAAGCTTTCAATAAGAGAGCATATCTTTACCTTAAAGGCCGGCAAAGCATCTGTAATGCCCTTGGGACTGCGGGTGTCAATGGGCGACGGTGATCCGTGTGCTCGTTTGCCTGCTGTCACATAAAAAAATACCTGGTTTGATTCGTCTTTGACGTCATCATGATCTTCTCGGGCAAGTCTTAGACCGCGTATCCACTAGAGGTAGCTTCGGGCCAAGCGGATGCCTGCCTCGTCACGAGGCAGAGTAAGAGGGGTCGCTTCCTCAGTCTGCGCACGCCGTGTCCTGAGGCATATTCGTTTTCGCGACCCGAGCCATATTATTATTGTGTCGCTCGGGACGAGGCATCTAGAGCAGTGGTTCCCAAAGTTGTCTAGGCTACGACTCGTCTAATACAAGTTTCCAAACTCGGGACCCACTTAAAGGAAATTACGCCCGCTGGTAGGGGTGGTGTGTCGTTCTACAGGCAGGGCCCATTCAATGTTCGCTCGCGACCCACCACTAGGTCGCGACGCGACCCATAGTTTAGGAAACCCTGATCTAGAGGATACGCGGCTGAACGGTTTATCCTTACCCGTGACTAATTCCACACTGGTGCTCTATCTGGGCTAACTTGCCTTCTACGTAATCAATGGTCTTCTCTAGGTAAGTGCATCATTGAAGGTTCAATATCCTCAAGGAGTACCTGAACTTGCTATTGGTATGGCTATCTCTTCACATTTTAATTTACATTCGTCAAGTCTAAACTAAACCAAAATTAAAAATATTTTCTGTTCTTTTGCAGTGGCTCTCGCGTTCGGTGTGAAAGAGTCGACGAAATTCAACAACTTCTGCACCGGGGTTAACCTGTGCGTCGTTATCTTTGTCATCATATCCGGGTCATTCAAAGGTCAGTCGACACTAACTTTTAGTTTGTGGAATCTTAAACTGTTGTAATAGACAAATTCCCCAAGGAAATTCTATGCTCCTACATTCTTATTTTTGGCTGGGAATTGTTGTACCACTACCGTTCTTCATGTGGATGTCGTAAATGCGATTCAGGGACAAATAAGTGAACATCGGGACTTCGCTACCCCAGCGTGCGAATGTAAACCTAATTCTTCCAATAAAGATTAATAGAGTGGCTCGTCCTCCCGCAGTGGAGACGTAAAGGATGTCGCACACTTATCAACCCGGAAAGGGATCGTAACCGTATCAACTCGAGGCGGTCAGTACTCTTTGTATGAAACTCCATACTGCAACACACACTTAGCCGCACCATAACATAAACGCCTCGCCTCGCAAATAGGCTAGTTGCCTAAAAAAATTTTTTTAGTCCGTAATGTTTAATATCAAAAAATATTGGACACATATATTTTTATTTGTCAATCTAACAAATAATTACATAGTTATGGTGCGTTGAAGTTGCGCACGACGTCACAACGTGCGGCATTTTAAGCAAGCGTTGACGTCACGGGCCTCTTCTTATGAACTTTGGGGCGCTTTATCTCTTTAAATTTTCATTAGTTTGAAAAAGTGAAAAATACGTGTAGAGTATTTTTTGATAAGTTAAATGACGGACTAATTAAAACTCTTGCTTTTTGACCCAGGCAACATCCCCATTGATAGCGCGCAAAAGGTGATGATAGCTCGCGAAAGGCGATACGGTTTTGATCCCTTTTCGAGTTGATAAGTCTGAGACATTCAGAAAGTAAGGTTATTTATTGCTCTGTTTACCAAAACAATGTAACTAATTTTAATAGAAGTTAATGGAAATTCAGTGAATCTCTAACAACAACACAATTAAGTGACAAAGGAAATACTGTACACTTTATATTATGTGACCTTACGGTCAGTTGGAATTTTTGTCTGTGGAAATCGGTAAGAATTAAATCTCACCAAAAAAAAGTGTTACACTATGAACTTAAATGATTTAATAAACTGTTGTTTCCTTGCAGCTGATACCAAGAACTGGCGTATCCCCGAGTCAGAGGTTCCTAAGACAGCGCACAAAGACTTCGGCAGCGGCGGCTTCGCGCCCTACGGGCTCGCCGGCATCATCAAGGGCGCCGCCGTCTGCTTCTACGGGTTCATCGGTAATTGTCAAAAAAGGCTAATAATATAGCTGTAGCGCTCACCAGTTGGCGCCACTGTAGAGTAAGGTAACTGTCATTTGCTAGTGGCGAAGACAACGGAACTATTCCCACCTCTCGTTCCCACCACTGCAACTCCTGTGTAGCCAGGATCTACACTTGACCGCCATAAAAACCCAACCAATGAAGGTCAAGTTTGTCCCGGGGGAAAGTTAAACTGTCATTGGACCTGCAACGAAATTAATCAGAAGAACATAAGAGGAGTCCGAAATTAAGGTTCGACTTCCCTCCTAGTGGCGAAGACAGTGGCGCCTATTAAATAAATAAATAAATAAATAAATAAATAAATAAATTCTTTATTGAATAACTTATTGACAGTTTTTAACAATAGGCTAATATTAAACTATAATAGGTAAAAGTACATACGTGCCTGAACTAAGAATTATAATTCCTGTATCTCAGGCAAAAAAGAGGCTTACATTACTTTATTAATAGAACTATTTCTAGCAAAATATATAATCTAATATGTATACATAATAATATTTAATTTAAAAATTAAAATTACACAAGTTACATTTAAGATTTAAAATCAATACAATGTGCTACATAATATTGCTTGTTCTACATAATTTATTAAAAACATTCAACATACAGTGTCTGCGTAAACAAAAATAATAAACTGGGTCACAGTCAATGTTGCAGAAATCATACAAATTATTTATTTTTACTCTAGATATAAATGCAATTCGGGTTTGTTAAGGTAGATTTGATAAAAGGTTAGTGGGACAGCTCTGTGATTAATTATGGAGTTAACTACTAGTAGGTACTAATGGTAAAAGTTAATTTAAACAATCTAGGTAGTAAATTAGCTAATGATAAAACTGACATCAAGACAAACATAAACTCGCAGGGGGCGCTCTTAAGCGCCTTCGTAATCTATGGTGTTAATATATCTATTTTCTGCTAGCTTCTTAGCAGGGCATTCAGCGTCACCTGTCTTATGATTGTTGGGCTTTTTGAAGTGCAAGCAGGTCGCACATTTTGAGGGCTCATCCTTTTTCTTGCAATCCTTTAATGCGTGACCCACTTCTCCGCAGTGGCCGCAAGTGATATTAGCTTCACGACAGGTCTTAGCAGCGTGTCCATACTGCTGACACTTGTAGCACCTTGTCACTAGGGTAAAGTCTCTAACAGGGCACGATGACCAGTTCACAAAAACTCTGTCATTTGCTATCAAGGTCTTCCGTATTTGAGCTGAGACTTCAATTACATAATTACAGGTTTCGGTGTCTTTCCTCCCTGATTTATGGCTTAGCTTAATAGAGGACATGAACGCTTCCAGTGACGTATTTTGAAGTTTGTCGGCTAGGTTTTGATGGTATATGCATTTANTTACTATGAGGTCTTTCAGTGCGCGTGAACGCACAGGGTGACACACGAACCAATCACAGAGGTCTATTCAACGCTGTGCGTTCGATTTTCTGCTTCACTTAAGCATCGCTTAGCACAATGCTTGCTTAAGCATTGTTTGTGATGACTTCTAAAATATAATCTGGAAGGGATTTTTTTAACAGACACTAAAAAGAGCCTATTCCTAATCTCTACAATCCTCACCGATGGAAGTTGAACCTTAACTTCGAACTCCTCATATCGCACCTATGGTGCAATAACGTCACTTATGCATTTTTTTTTTTCAAAACTTAACTGATTATGAGAAAATACTCCAAATCTACCTCTTTACTTGGTTTACTTTGATTAAGTTAAATTTTGAAAAAATGCATAAGTGACGTTATTGCACCGTAGGTGCGATATTATGTTCTTCTGATTAATTTCGTTGTGGGTCCAGTAATGACAGTTTTATTTCCCCCCGGGACAAACTTGACCGTCGTTGGTTGGGTCAAGCTGTAAATCCTGGTAACACAGGAGTTACAGCGGTGGGAATAGTCCCGTTACCATCATCATCATTTCAGCCACAGGACGTCCACTGCTGGACGCAGACCTCCAATGATTTCCACATCGCCAAATTAGTAGCGGCCTGCATCCAGCGCCTATTCTAACTCCATGAGGTCGTAGTAAACACCGTTGATGGCAAATTCAATATTTTTTATTTTTCAAATTGCATGTGAATACACTAGCCATTGACTACAGACCATAGAGTTTGTTTACAACAGTGATAACGGACGGACCGGTAGAGGCAGCGCAAAAACAACGCGCATCTCCCGGCCAGCGGAAGAAATCCGCGGCGGACACTGGGCAAGTCAAAAGATAAATAAAAACGTACTAAGAATAATAGAGCTTGATTCGCCTATTTAATTATAAGTACCTTTGTAGAATACTTTATTACAATTTTAATACATGAAACTTTCGTTTATGTACTCCAGTATTTTTTATTGATCTTTGGTCTATCCCAAATCATAATAGTCCATCGGGTAGCGGTATTTGAACCACCAACCCTCGAATGTTTAGTCTGACACGGACACTATTGGGCTATTTTCACTTATACCTACTTAAAGTATATCATAAAAAATAAGAAACTATTTACTGTGAAGTTACATCTGCCAAATAATAGGTATTATAATTTACTAGCTATATCGTGCAAGTTCTTTAAAAGTTAAAAACTTCATGGCTATATCACCTAATAACAAACAGTACGTACCTATGTACAGTATCGTGAATTCGTGAACAAACTATAAAACCATAGCATCAATAAAAGTCGATTCTACACAGCAATAACACGAAATGCTACTGTTTGATGATTATACGTTAAAAAGCCTTGATTTACTGCTAATTTGTACGTACTAGCCATTACATTCTTGCATTGTCACAAACAAAGCGTAAACCATTAGTTGGTTCTTGTAAATACGATGTTTATGATTTACATACGACACGACGTATCTTACGATGCGTGAATTAAAAAAAGATGGAACAGGGAAAACTAGATAGTTCGTGTTTTAAAACTGTACATCATAAACGTCAAAGTTATGAAATGGTATGATTTATGCAGGAAGTTTTGCGCTCCTGTCAAATTTTGGATACAGTTATTTCTTTCTTTTATTGTTAGGATTGAATTGTAATGTACTGAATTTATTATTGCTGAAGCTAGGAAGTTTTATTTTATTGAATGATAAAAGACATTTATCTTTGGTAATGTATGTAAATGTATTAGGTACTAATTTCGGTAATAAATGTTTCATAAAATTTATTACGATTTCAGTCGATCTCATAAAATTAATCATAAAATCATTTGGAGTTTGTGTTTTTGCAAATCATATTTTGCTTACTTAAATGCAAAATGTGACACGCTATTTAATAATTAATTTAACTAAGTACTATTAATTTGAGGTGACATAAATCACCCTGTAACCTTTGGTAAGCAAATAAGCTTGAATTGGGAGTGGGTACACACAAATAAATATGTACTTAACTTTTTGAATTTTCTTTCTTTCGATGAGTAATAGGTACCATAGATAACATAAAACACACTAGTAGTAGTTCAATGCCTAGAATGTTATAAATAAAATGAAATCATTTTTTGAAAATCCAACTTAAATTCTTATCACTGCTCAGTGTCCGCCGCGCCGATTGATCAGAAGCGTGACGCGTGCGCATCCATACCTACGGTGAAAATTGCAGAAAATTAATTCATTTATACAACTGTTAGACGATACGCGCCGTGAGCAGTGTGCGGTGGCCTTTACTTTGGGCTTCTGTTTTGTTCTGCAGATTTCCTAGTTTTTTGCGATTGCAGTTTTTTAGTTTTCTGTTATCAGTTTTGTTGATTCTGTAGTCTGTTGCGCTAAAAATTGTAGTTACTAATTAAGTAGTTGTGTTCATCTTAAGTCTATTAGCAAACAAGTAATGTACAGTACATAGACCTCATAAAGGTATCAGGAAGGCGCTGGATGCAGGCCGCTACCAACCGGGCGGTGTGGAAATCATTGGGGGAGGCCTATGTTCAGCAGTGGACGTTCTGTGGCTGAAAATGATGAGGCATGTGTGTAGCCTCCATAACTGCTGAGATATTAATACATAAAATAAAATGACACATCATAGCTGACATAACAAGCGATTTGACAATAGATAACGTCACAACATGTCACAGCATCACCATAATTGAAGTTTGCAGTGCGTAACAATATCTAATAGCTGTATTTGATGGGAAGTGTGTTTGTGTGTCATGCCGAGGTAATCTGTATTGGAATAAAAAACTTTTGCGGTAACTATTTATTTATAAATAGTGTAAATAACACAATAGAGCCTGCCAGTGGAGAGTGCTAGTGTTCATAAAGTATAAAAATAACTGCAGCCAAGATGAGATAGGTACCATCCTAATCGTTTTTACCTACTGATATTTGTATCAAGCATCTTTCGTTTTGGTGGGCACTTTTAAGGCTAATTTTGGCTACTTGCTATTGAAGTCAAACTTAGGTATTTTATGACGTCGTAATATTATCTGACAGAAAGGTTTGCTTCCTGCCTTACAGCACATAATTGTAATCTCTCTACCAATTTGTAAAGAACATGGTGGAGTATGACCCGGATCAGCGGATCAGCTCTAGTTCTTTTTTCAGCAACACAAATCAGGTATTCGACTGCAACTTTTTAATCATACCTGATGATAAGTGAGATGAATGCGAGGTTAGGTGGAGTTACACATGTGACATAATTTTGGCAAAACTGCAACAGTTGCAACAGTTTGTTGCCAGTATTTCTTGTAGAGCTAGTATTTCTATACAATTATGACCCATTGAGAGGTCAGGGTAGAAAGCTTTTTTGCGATACCAAGTTTCAGCTTCAATAAGTCATTCTAAACTTAGACAGAATAACCAGCAGCAGCAACTGCAGACAAAACCTAAAAAATGGGTAAAAACTTCACCATGACACGCTTACCTTATTAGGGTCGTGTCATAATGTCAATATCACTGCACATCGATTGTCTAATCGATTGTGTATGAAGTGAATGGGTTGTGTGAATAGGACTCCCACGCCCGTCGAAGGTCCAATGTTATGATGCATGTCCTTCATGGAGAACATGGGCAACCTTGCTAAATAAATGTTTAAGGGCTCTTAAAAGGTTCTATACATCATATCCTAACATAAACTCTAGGTTAGGTAGGTACTGTTAACATCTGGACCAGTGATAAGAAGAAAAAATCTGTCACAATTTCAACCACTATTGCAATGATTTTGAGATTATTTTTCGTATAGAGCTAGTGAGGTTATATTTTTAATCAAATTCTGAAGTAATTACTATAGTAAACCTAATCCAAAAGCTACAAATCTTCTCTTGTTTATGTTTTTTTCTATTTCTTTTCGTAAGAATACATAATTTCATGGACTGTCTTCTGTTATAAACACAGTTCACAGACCTTATGCCAAGATGGCTGCTTATATCTAATGAAAGCAAGAATATTTTATAAGAAGACTTCAGTAACATACAGTATCGTTGATTACGATACATCAACGCAGATCAACAAGAAACATCAAAACAAATGTAAAACACCTACCGGTTTCCACCAAGGTCGAGCAGAGCGGAGAAATTGAATGAAATTGACAGAATGAAATCTGATTGGTTATTCAAAACATTTCTCCACTCCGCTCTATGAAAATAGTATGTAATAAAGTTTACTCTCCACATTTTTACCTCATACCAAGTAAACAAACCATTCCCCGCCAACTCAAGGCATCGCGATTGTCTTCAGTAAATCTGCGTAAAGAGGCGACGTAAAATCTCTAACACCGTGGGAGAGTAGCACAATGCTTAATAACCTCTATCGGCTGATAGCGACTATTGATAGCGATTAATTTGACGTTTTTATCGGGGTTCCGTGGCGGATGCAAAATCCTGAGGTGGCGGAGAAGTGGGTAAAGTTAAAGACGCGTTGCGAAGATGCATAGCTCTTGAGAGACGCGAAGATGTATTGCGGGTCATAATTTTTGTCGGCCGTTTGGTGTAATGGTTCGAAACGGACAACTATTCCGGAGGTAGTGGGTTTGATTCCCGCACAGTACAAACATTTGTGTGCATGAACATATTTGTTTGTATTAGACTGGGTTTACAAAAAAAAGGATTGAAGTATGTTTATATCCGTTGTCTAGTATCCATAGTAGTTTGGGACTAGAAGCGCAGTGTAAAATGAAAAAAAAAAACTATGGCTTACGTTTAGTATACAGGTTTTAGTTATAGTTGATTTAGGAGCGCATTTGCTATGGAAAACTTTGTTTTCTAAAGTAAATCAAGAAAAAGACGCTTATATTTAGATTTGATATNCGCGCTGCGAGGGCGTGGGCGGAGGGCTGCGCTGCGTGAGCGCGCTCCGGTTGAAGGGACTTCCTTCCATATTATCAAGTCTATACACAAATCATTATAAGTTCAGTGTTCAATTAGAGATAAATGACACAGATAAAACACTTCCGAGTTTCGATAATGTAGGTCGCGATTTTGCTAGTGAATAGTTAAATTAAATATTTATTTTCATAGCGCTGACACGTCCGATCGAGTGAACGGCGAGAATATGAGTTGAGAATATTGGTGAGCGCTGAAGTGGCAGGAGGATTTGCATTCACCAGGATGGTGCCATCGTAGAGATTAGGGTCATTTCAATCGCAAGTGGTGCCAACTGTTAAGTAAAAAACGATAACCGTCATTGACATTCTGTCCTCTTTCTGGGTTGTTAGAAAGAAATCAAAGTAGAGCTTTCTAGCGATAGAAGAGCACACCTATATTGTTCTGCTTCGAACTCGTATTTCTTTTATATGTTATTTTTTTTGGTGTACAACAACTGAGGTGACTTGGTAACGGTAACTTACGCGCAGATTCAAGACTGTGTCTGTCTGTTGCACTTCAAAAGTGCGTTGTTTTGTATTAGACGCCTTTTCAACTCACATACGAATTACTAGTGAAGAATAAAGTTATGTGATAAATTTTTCCTTGCCTTCAGGTTTCGACTGCGTAGCTACGGCCGGCGAAGAAGCCCGTAGGCCCCAGAAGACCATCCCCTTCGCTGTAGTAGCTTCTCTGTTGGTGGTGTTCCTGGCCTACTGCGGGGTCTCCTGCGTTCTGACGCTGGTCCTGCCGTATTATATGCAGGTGAGATAATGGAGCTATTTTACGTCCAAATTGTTACTCCTGCAACTGCTGTGTATGTGTGGGTTTTCAATTGGAAATTGCTTTGCTCTTACCCACTGGGGTAGGTAGGTTATGGAAGATTCTCTCTACTAGAAGAACGGGGCTTACCCACTAAAATCCGAAGGTGTCCTCCGAGGTCAATGAAACGAAGCAGCGAGTTATTGTATTAAGATTGGATATTCGACGCGGCTCTGTGTGAGTAGCTTAGGCTCACATTTTATGCCGTAAATAAATTGTCACTGTTCTGGAAAAAGTCAAATTGGCCTTGTGTTGTGGCTTTCAATCAATAATTAATATAGTTTTTTTTTATAAAAATAAAATCAGGCTAAAATCTTGATGCTGATATAAATCCGGTGTCTATGGGCGACGGTAATCACTTACCATCAGGTGATCCGTCTGCTCTTTTGCCTCCTGTCACATAAAAAAAATCCCTACCAATACAAATGCGAAAGTAACTCTATCTGTGTCGCTTTCACGTCTAAACCACTGAACTAATTTTGATGAAATTTGGCATAGAGATTCTAAGATTGAGTCCCGGAAAGGACAAAGGCTAGTTTTTATCCCGATTTTTGATAGACAAAATTTCACGCAGGCGATGCCACGGGCGGAAAGCTAGCTATAGAAAAAATAGTTATTTTTGCAGCTGGGTTGTCTCGACTACTGTCCTAACGGTCTTTGATGTCTTTTATACGTCTGTTTTGTTTCCAGGACGAGAAGGCGCCGTTCCCGTTCGTGTTCGACCAGCTGGGCTGGCCGTGGGCCAAGTACGCCGTCAGCGTCGGCGCCATCTGCGCGCTGCTCTCTAGGTGACCACCACTACTTTACCAGTTCCAGAGATATGAGCCTGTATGAGACGCCAGGCAAATAGTGCTGAAGACTGACTTTAAAATAACAAACCTATCCGAAAGGGTCTTAAGATTAAGCTCAGAGCCGGCATGCTATGTGTTCGAACGCGGTTTCGGAATCATGATTTTTATCCTTTTGACAAAATTTGATACTTTCATTTCCAACCGAGAAACATCCACTGAAATCCCTTAAGAATTCTAATATAAGGGATCTCACTCAATTTTCGAATAGATCCAGTTTATTCTGTAATCTGATAATGGTACCGTTTGAAAGAGCTCGTGAAGCACTTTCAGGATCAGTAACCAATTTTTCAATATCTTGTATAGTTTTGAAATAATCGAGTGAGATCACTTACCGTTTCCACCCTGTATAATGACAGATCTTGTGATACGGGAAGCTACCTTTATCAGGTCGTCGGTCCACCGAGAGACGTCTTCTTATCAATATAAAACAAAACACCTTGTATTCATCCAGTCTGCTGGGCGCGGTTTTCCCGCTGCCGCGCATCATCTACGCGATGGCCAACGACGGGCTTCTGTTCCAGTTCCTGGGCCGCGTCAGCCCGCGCTTCCAGACGCCGCTCGTGGGCACCATGATGGCCGGCCTCTTCACAGGTACCTTTATGAATAATTACATGTTCCTTACTATAGTCTGGTCCGTGAGCACGTAGAATTTTGTCCAATGACCCCAAGCTACCCATCCTTATCGCTCGCGCGTAATTATGTTGCTGTCGCGCTCGCACACTCACTGCGGGCGCCCGTCGCACAGTCGCGACAGCAATATAATTACGCGCGAGCGATAAGGATGGGTAGCTTGGGGTCATTGGACAAAATTCTACGTGCTCACGGACCGGGCTTTAGAGGCCGCCCGCGACTTCGTACGCGTGGACCTCGTTTACTTCTAGTTATGTTGATAGATGGCGTTTAACGGCTTCCCCCGCATGAATATTGACGAAGGTCTAAATTTTATGACTGTAGATTTAAACCGATGACGATAAATGGCGCTTTTTACCCACGTCTTATTTTTTTATTGAAATTTAGTTTGTGGCATATCGTCATAAATTATAGCCTAGGGGGCGTCCATATATTACGTCATTCTAAATTAGGGGGGGGGGGGTTGGTCTGCGGATGACGGTAAATGATAGATAGGGGGGGGGGGGAAAAAAAAAAGGTGATTCTACAAGTGTTTTAATTTTGTCAAACTGGTAATGACGTCAATTTTGGGAGAAGGGGGGGGGGGGTCATTAAGAAATGACGCTAGGATGATTGTAGGGGGGGGGGGGGGCTAAAATCTGAAAAAATCGATGACGTAATTTATGGACGGCCCCCTATATGTTAATCTGGGTTATAAATAATAATACTGTAAAGTTTCAACAAAATCCGGTCAGTAGATTTTGCGTGAAAGAGTAACCAACATCCAGACATCCACACAATCCAGGCATTTATAAACTTAGTAAAATACTTTATACAAAACTCACCAATATAAACCAATTAATAGCTCTATTTACCGGAATATTACGAAGATAAAACATACCACAACGATACCTCGATCTCTTTCATACATGATAAGAACTTCATCGGTCTATACATAATCGCTTGGTACTTGATTGATGCAATAGCAACAAAACTTGCTTAGGCATATTTGCTAATGGAGAAGTATAGGCGCTCAGACTATTGACATTTGACATTATTTAGTAAAGATTTTGTTTTCTAGATTTTTAAGCAGATTGCATTATCTCAAAATTATAAACGCGCTTTTATTAGACACCAAACAAATATTATAACAGCACAAACTACGACAATCTCTTCTTGATAATCCAAGAGATCTCAATGAAACTGCAGGATAAAAAGTTTGAATAAAAAGCAATGTCTACATGCATTACTAACTAGCCTACCTTAAGTTACAAGATTTTAAAATGTAAGATTGTTACTTGTTCTAACGTTTGTTAAGTGTTTATTGTTTATTATGTAGTTATAATATTATGTTACAACTACGTAACTGTATTCATATGAATATAATATTGTACGTCCAATCGGCAGGTTATAGCCGTTGTATGTAAACATTTAAGATCTGTGTTATTGTATTACCTATAACTAACACAATAAATGATTGTTTGATTTGATTTGATTTGATTAATACCCACTTGTTTCCCAGGGACCCTGGCCATGATCTTCGAGCTGGAGCAGCTGATCCACATGATGTCCATCGGCACGCTGCTCGCCTACTCCATGGTCGCTTCTTGCGTGCTGCTGCTTCGGTAAGCTGCTTGTAAAGCCTGGTCCTTAAGCACGTAGAATTTTGTCCAATGACCCCAAGCTACCCATCCTTATCGCTCGCTCGTAATTATATTGCTGTCGCGACGGGCGCCCGCAGTGAGTGTGCGAGCGCGACAGCGACATAATTACGCGCGAGCGATAAGGATGGGTAGCTTGGGGTCATTGGACAAAATTCTACGTGCTTACGGACCAGGCTTTAGACTCACAAAAATTCCCATTATTCTTCGTCTGCACTGTGAGCTTGCTTTTTTTAATCAAAGAAAATTACTTGTCCATTCGGCGTCCGCAAGTCGATAGTGTATTATGTGCGGCTCTAACAAATTAAAAACCCGGGGTGTTTTCACTTTTGAGCATCGTTTCTTGTTGGAGATAGATCTGGTAATACCGGTGCGAGGCTTTGATCTGAAGCCAAGCAGTGTTGTTAACCGTCTTGTTTTTCTACATACTTTTTCGATTCGATAGTTTTGTGTTACCTTGCTTTATTTTACGTGATCTAGAATATATTTTTGTTCAAAGTTGTAAGCATTTAATTTCTGTAGCTAACATTTCTCTTTAAGACCTTTGGGCCAACGATCTTCACGGGCGATTGGTTTACTGACGTCAGTGGACGTCATTTGGCTGAAACGAACGAACGAGTAAACTTTTTTAACGTCGGAAAATGCTTTGCGCATACCTACTGGTCGATGGGGACGGCCAGTGGGTTATGACTCCCCGCCCTCTCACTACCTACCCACTAAAACCCGACGATGTACATCACCAATCCTAACCTAGTTCAAGTATCAACCTATACAGGGTGGCCAGGGAGTTGACGTTCAAAGCTAAAATTTAGATTGCTGACATCAAGGTGTATCTAACTAAATCACCCCCATGTACGAATATGTTTTACGATTTTGCTTAGTTTGGGAGATAGAGTTAATTTTGTGATTTATCCTTAACCTATCCCCTATTGTTGGTTTTTATTTTTTTTCTCACTTATGTAAGGAATCTAAATTTTAGCTTTGAACGTCAACTCTCTGGCCACCCCCCTGCATACAGGGTGGAATTTTGTAATGCCACCTGGAGGGAAAGTACTTTTAATACTGTAGATAGAATTTTTTTCTGAAAGAAAACATTCCTTTATTTTTGAAAAGAAAGAGAACTACTGCATTCAAAGATTTTCGAAAATTTTAGAAAATTGACTACCATACCATAAAATTTTCTGTAACATAATTAAAATAATTTAAGATTTTATGGTTTTTTGTTAGAGAGTTTTCATCCTTAAATAAAAATACAGAGTGTAATTTTGAACAGATTTTAGTAGGTTCGATTCACGGGTGTGGCAAGCAAATTTTTGGAAATCTTTTAATGCAGTTCTATTTCATTTCAAAAATAAAGAAATGTTTTCTTTGAGATTTTTTTTTATCTACAATCTTAAGAGTACTTTCCCTCCAGGTGGCATTACAAAATTCCACACTGTATTGTATCTAAATACACAACACACATTGTCAGTATCGGTTATAAAATGTCTTGTTTCCTCCCAGCTACGAGTGCAGCCCGGCGACGCAGCGCGGGCCGGAGCCTCTTCGCCTGACGCCCCGCGCCGTGTTACGTCAGCTGTTCAACAGCGAGCGGCTTCCCCTGCCCTCACGTCTCAGCGCCGGCCTCGTGTCTACCCTCGTCACGCTCTACGGTGGGTACAGGCACGCTTGCAGCCGGGGCCAGACAGACCCCCGCGGCGTGTTACGTCAGCTGTTCAACAGCGAGCGGCTTCCCCTGCCCTCACGTCTCAGCGCCGGCCTCGTGTCTACCCTCGTCACGCTCTACGGTGGGTACAGGCACGCTTGCAGCCGGGGCCAGACAGACCCCCGCGGCGTGTTACGTCAGCTGTTCAACAGCGAGCGGCTTCCCCTGCCCTCACGTCTCAGCGCCGGCCTCGTGTCTACCCTCGTCACGCTCTACGGTGGGTACATGCACACATTTAGAGTAGGCGCACACCGTTGATTTTTAGTTGGCCGATAGTTGTGCCCGATTTTAATTTGTATGAAGAATCGGCCAAATCGAATCGGCGTGTGCGCACTCCCATACATGCCCATACTGATCAACTGCCCGACTAAACTATCGGCCGACGAAAAATCAACGGTGTGCGCCTACTCTTAGGCGATAAAGCAGCGCCACACACGCGATGCTGCAAAATTTCATACTATGTGACAGCGGATGCAAGCGACTGTCGCGCTACTAACGCCCTAATGTGAAAGCGCTCTTAAAGCCGGGTCTGAATGAGTGTAACACGTAATGGAATGTATCGTGTAGTGTAACACGAATTCTACCTGTGGACGGCACTACGATCATTACATGTAAAGTGCTGCCCATACTATTTTCATTACATTACACGATACATTCCATTACACGTTGCACCCGTCTGGAGGCGGCTTAATGGAAATAGTATGGACAGCACTTTACTGCTCGTAGTGCCGTCTACACGTAGAATTCGTGTTACATTACACTTAATCTTACATTACACATTACGTCTGGACCCGGCTTAATACAAACACGGACACGTCATGTACCTACAGCCAAGGAACTTAATCCATGACCCATTTTGCTGAAATGAACGAGAAAAACGATACCAGACGACTATCAAAAATAGTAAGTCGTAAAGTAATAAATTAATATAGAAGGTTCCACCTGTAGTTGGCTTCAGGCACACCTTCATCTTGACATTGGTACAATGTCAATGTTTCCAAGTTTAGTCAACGGCATATCACTCTATGCATTATGCATGGGAAATTGATAGAAATGCAAAAACCCACCTCAAAGCGGGTGTTTTTGAGTGCTAATTTTATCGCCTATGAAAGACTAGAAAACGATCAGCAAACGTAAAAAACTAGAGAATAGATTATTGCTAATTTATTTGTTTACTTTCCTTATTGCGTACCATGTTTTGGAGTTGAACCGGTACCACGTTAATTTACGATAACCGGAATGACGTATTTAAATATCGGAATCGGAATCTGATCAGTATTTCTCCTTCCTATATCAGTTCCTGTCACGCAGCCTGATAATTATGTGTGTGAGGATGACAAAAAGTTAAGATAGGATGACAGATAGATAAAATATGGATATTGCGTTCATAATAGACTATAATATTTTTAATAATAAATCTAGCAAAAACATCACGATACTATTGATATACCATGTGTGACTATGAATAAGCGTGCAGAGTCATTCACCGATACAAAAACATTTGGTTGTTTTGTAATAAAAATTTTAACAAAAGTAAATACTGGTGGCATACATTAGTAATTCAAAGATTTCAAGTAATATCAATTATATTGTTAAGCAATTAGCTAAAAGGTGACGTATACAATTACACATGGCATGTAGTTTGTTAGAATTTGCTATTGTATAACTTTGCATAATGTTTAAATTACGATAGTATTAAAAATACCACTAAAGAATTGATATCATTGTGCTTGAGATAACTATAAAACTAAGACACAATAATTTCGGGTTTTTCATGAAAGATAATAAAGTAATACAAAGTGATATAGGTAAGGTTTTTACCGGTAAATTACCGTCAAATCTATAATTTATTCGTACATTAGGCTAATAGAACTAGTCGGAAAAAACAAAAAGAAGAATATTCACTGAAAAAATATTTACAAAATAGTGTAGCGTTGTTTCTACGATTTTATTGTAGACACATTGACGATTCAACGGTTATTGTTCTGTAATACTTTCATACCTCTTGAACTTATTCATTTTATACCGATGAAAACCCGATCATTCATCTATCCTTTGCGATCTTTCGAATTTTCGATATTTACTTAAAATTTTGCGAATTTTCAAATTTTCAAAATGAGTCTTTTCTAGTAAGTTGATCTGGGTAGTATTAATTTTTTTTTAAATGGGCCGTGCTGTTTTCAGAATTGAAAAGTTCTGTAAGAAACTTTTAAAAAGTTCAGGCTGTTAATATCTTTTTACAGCTATATTACACAACACCCAAAAAGCTGATTACATTTTAGAAAACAATTTGCATTTGTAAATTATTAATTGTTCAATTAAACATGGCATGTTGACTTGCGATAAGAGTCGCATAAAATACATTAATTTGCATAACGTAATTATTAATTAGAATGACGCATAACAGTCTGCCGTACGCACTTAATATTTAGACTAAGTGATTTCAGAAAACACTCGTCAATCTATGTTAATATGAAATAATATTTTATTTTGTTTTGGGTTCATTATTTTTTTTTATGTCAGAAAAATTGAATTCTTACACCATATTCGCTCCCTACTTTACGTAAAGCGACCCTGTTATATTGACGCCAAAATATTTACCTCACTTGAACAATAAAGTTAATCTATCTCCCAGAACATTTAACCTTCATTGGTTGGGTTTCATTGGAGGCCCAACTGCAGATACTAGCTACACAGAAGTTGCAGTGGTGGGAGGAAGGTGGGATAAGTCCCGTACTTGAGACGCATTACAACTTGTGGCCTCATGTGAACTAGGCTTATGCAGATTAAGAGCTTAATCTAGACGTTAGTTTAGCTTAGTGTTCGGTTTTCGATAGTGTTTGCATAGTTTGCAGTTTGCTCACAACTATGGAAAACACTAAAACTTGACCGAGTCCTGTCCATTGATACGGAGCCGCGAGCAGAGTAAATACAAATGAGTAGGTCATCTTCATAGAAACGCACCGAGCGCGGTTTGTATGTGAGCGCGCGCCAATACGTATGCGGCGCGCACGCACACACTGACAGAATTCAGCGCACCTCACCGCTAATCCACGCTAAATTTTGTCAGTGTGTGCGTGCGCGCCGCATACGTATTGGCGCGCTAACATACAAACCGCGCTCGGGCGTTTCTATGAAGATGACCTACTCATTTGTATTTACTTTGCCGCGAGTTATTGTCCCTAAAGTTAGACATTTGTCCGCGGCTAATGTAAACTCACTTAGCTAAGTAAACTCATAACACAAGCATTAGGTTGCTTACTTTGGGGCTAGCTGGCGCTGTGTGAAATTGTCCAAAGACTTAAAAAAAAAAAAAAAAAGTTAATAGTTTGAAAAATGCATTACTGACTTCCCACTTGTTCAGGCGTGTGGTGTTTCGTGATGATGTCGAGCGTGAACCAGCACGGCGCGGCCATCTTGGCGGGCCATGCCGCGCCCGTGGCCATGTTTGCCGTGGGAACCATACTCGTGCTCGTCACGCTCTATGCCATCTCGTGCCAGCCCGTGTCTGAGAAGAAGCTGGCCTTCTCCGTAAGTATAGTATAGATGACCCACGCTGAACTGTCCCACCAAACTCAATGACAGAGGGGCGCTACCATCGCTCAACTATATGGTTTCCAACATGGCAAAAATCGGAACCAGCGATCCGGTATTGACGGTGGCGCCCTACTGTCAATGTCATGCATAGGACAGTTCAGTATTTTGGAACTATAGTTATTTTTGAAAGACAGGTACAAGGAATAGTTCGTTTCACTTACAAAGACGCGCGGGGTCGAGGGAAGCGGGGGGTGCCGGCATTAGCAGCGTTGCAATGAGGGCTATCGTTTTAGCGCTCACCAGTTAGCGCCACTGTAGAGTAAGGTCCTGTCACTTGCTAGTAGCGAAGACAGTGGCGCCAACTTGTGAGCGCTAAAGTAGTAGGAGGTCTATCGCACTCATCAATGCGATAGAAATCGACCATTGCTCGTCGCAGTTCCTCACGGGACATGGCAACTTTAAACATAAAGTTCACGAATTCAAACTAGTTCCGTCTCCTTTTTGCGAGTGTTCCACTGATGATGTCAGTCATGAGCAGTCTGCCCATCATATCTTGTGGGAGTGTGATCTTTGGAAACATGAACGTGATATAATGCTTAATTCAATACAACATACATCTGTTTCCGCAATTTATTACACCGATCTTGTCGCGACAAGGAAAAATTTCCGTGCTTTTAAGCGATTTTGTGAAAAATATTATTGGCAGGTAGTTGCTAATTGCTCATAAGATAGGCCCCCTTAATTTAATTTATTGTCCGTGGTGCATAATCTTTTTCTTAAAGGTTTTAAACCTTTGTTTGTCACCTGTCATCCGCTTTGCAATGGAGGGAAGTCGAACCTTAATTTCGAACTCCTCCTATGTTCTTCTGATTAATTTCGTTGCGGGTCCAATGACAGTTTAACTTTCCCCCGGGACAAACTTGACCTTCATTGGTTGGGTTTTTGTGGCGGTCAAGCTGTAGATCCTGGCTACACAGGAGTTGCAGTGGTGGGAACGAGAGGTGGGAATATCGCACTCATCAAGATGGCGCCACTGTAGAGTAAGGTCCTGTCAATCGCCAGGGGTGCCAACTGTTAAGTATAAAAACGATAGCCCTCATTGGATAGTTGTCCGTGAGTGCGCGTGATAACTGAAACTACAATGATGACGCTCGGATTGGTCGGATCATGCTCCCCGCACCCCGCGCGACCTCGACCCCGCGCGTCTTCGTGGATGAAATGAACTATAATTCTTCGTATTTCGTTTACGTATTATAGACGTCTATAGATGAAGCTACTCTCATAGAAAGTGGAAAGCAACGGAGCACGCGGTCGATCGCCAACCCTCTGGATAGAAAAAGGCTACTGAGTCCACCTTGGTCCAATGTACTCGCGACGTCTCTAACAGACTTTTGAATTTGAATTTTGAATTTGAGCTACCCTCGGAAATGATACCGAACACCCTACCGTGTACCTCGTCAGCGCAACCACAACCACTCTGACACAAGAAGACTCGAAAGGAGTTTTATTTCATAATGTATCGTTACTGTTGTTAAGCGGTGGATTCAACTCCGAACTGGCCAGATAAAGGCAATCCACTCTTGACATTAGCACGTTCTATGCTGTTTCGTCATCTCTTGCTATCAAGTTGTCGCAAACGAAGCTCAGAACAGAATTCTGAGGTGTGAAACCGAATACTCATGTGCATACATGCTTTGCCCATTCAGAGGGGAGGGGCTTGAACGTCATTAAACGCACGTAAATGTTCGCACGACCGTATACCTATCAAACTAAATACTATAAACGTACTTAGTACTAAGTACTGTAAACGCTGGATTAGATGTACCGTAACAGCGTATTACACTTGAAAATTTCGACGGGTTCATCCAGTGTCTAAGTAGCTCAGTTGGAAGAGCAGTCGCATGGCAAGCGGAAGGTCGTGGGTTCAATTCCCGCCTTAGGCAGTTTGATTTTTTCAAGTTATTTATAATTTTCTTAATACTGTAACTTATGTAGTTGTGCTAAGTAGTATTTTCCCTTACTATGTCAGGTGCCACTAGTGCCGTGGCTGCCGGGACTGAGCATTCTCATCAACGTGTACCTGATGCTCAACCTCGACTACATGACCTGGGTCCGCTTCGCTGTCTGGATCGCCGCTGGTGAGTAAACGTCATCATCATCATCATTTCAGCCATAGGACCACAGAATAATAATAAGTACAGAAGATTTATTTCGCGAAGGTATTTAAAAAAATGTATGCTCAATGTCATTAACAATATGGTGTAATTTAGCTGGTCTCAAGAGTCAAGCACCATTTTGTTGACAAACGTCAGTGATCGGCACTGCGCCGAAGCTATAAGGCTGACTTCGGTAAAATGATGTGACGTGAGGTGCCAAACTGCAGAAAATACATGATTTAGCAGATTTAGCATAAATTATCATGAGTATTATTAACTACTTATTTACCTCTCAGTGTCTTCAGGCAACTTAAAAAAGTACATTCTGTGTTTTTATTATTATTTAGGCAGGTAAATACTGCACAGTATTTAGTACACCATTTTCTTTATTTTTTTCCATCATACACAAGAATACGCGTGCGTGAGTCAATGCTCGCTCGTATGTGATGCCTTGTCGAATAGTAATCCTGTAGGGTGCCATCGTGCGTGTTTTGTTTCTATGTAAACTCGCGGAGATGAACAGGCCTGATAGGACGTCCACTGCTGAACACAGGCCTCCCCAATGATTTCCATGTTGATCTATTGGTAGCGGCCTACCAATAAAAGTACTGATCTCTAGTAATTCCAGCAACCTTGAACGAGGGCCCGATGTTAAATTCATGAATTTAACAAAATTTCTTTGTTTTTAATGCTTTATCTTTTATTTCTCTTCTAATTATGATTGTAAACCCTTTTCAACATTATGCAGTTAAAGGTTGATTTTTCCGCGCTTGATCTGTAGATTGGGCAAGTGTGATATGACACATACGCATAACATAATGGGACTTGTTAATGACTATTGAAGAATTTGTGATATTCGCTATAGAACAACATACCGATATTAATCGCAACGAGAGGCTTCGTTTATAATGAATTATTTCAGTATAAAGTTTAAAATCTTCGATCGTTTACAAAACCAGAATGCGACTCAGAAGAATATGAAAATGCCAAAATAATATTAATTACATAAATTTAATATCAATAATAACATTTATATTTAATTTGGGTCTGAGCCCAATCGTACGGTTCAGTCAATTAATATTCATTAAACAACACTTAATATTGATTAAAAATAAAGTAACCCGATAAAAATTACAAAACAATCTAAGAAATGCAAATATTTCGAATTATGGACGACTCATCAAAAAGTTTGTATAGGTACATACAAATAGACGCCAAATAATGAAAACATTTTCCTCATCGATTTAAATATTTTCTGCGTTTCCGAAACTTTTTTTCGTCTACAAAATTGAATATATTTTATTAAGAACGTGACATCTAAAAATTTATGTGACGCGAAACAATCGAACATTCATCAGTCTAATCGGTCGTTCCTTACGAGTCATCGTACTCTTCGAGCAAACTCAAAATGATCGGCTCGAAAAGGACCGAGTGCGTGTTGATGCCGTGCGCGAAGTCGATGTGGTTGAACTTGGCCGGCTCCAGCACGATGTGGCGCCGCACGCCGCCCAGCCGCCGCCGCAGCAGCGCCACGTCCGGCAGCGTCGACGTCAGGTCGTTCCTGCCCGACACCAGCACCACGCTGATGTTGTTCCCGCCCAGCGCGTACTCCGGCGGCGACAGCGACCCGTACTTCCTCAAGTTTCCCAGGAGGCCGTAATCGTACTTTTGGAATCGTCTCTGCTGGATGGTCTGCGCCAGATGCGTCAGCGCCTTCCTCGACATCGACGACGGGTAGTGTTCGAAAAACTTGACCGCGTACTCCGGCTCCATCTCGTCCGCGTCGTACCCGTACACCGGGTACAGCGCCTGCATGCACACGCCGTACGCCGTCGCCGGGCTCGAGCAGGCGCTCAGGACCAGGCTCCGCTCGAGCGAGCCGTCCACGAACACGCCGTCCGTGCCCGTCAGCGCCAGCGCCGGCATCACCAGCGGCGCCGTCAGCGCCGCCAGCACCTGGGCCGGCGAGTGATGCATGTAGCAGATCGGGGCCAGCGATATCGACACCCTGAACTTGGCCGCGTACTCCGGCCGCTCGCTCCCCAGCACGTACACCCCGGTCGTTCCCAGCGACCACCCGATGTGGCTGAGCTTCTGTTGTTCTGTGTTGTTCAGCACGAAGTCGACTATGGCGGGCAGGTCGGAGACGGAGTACTCGTGGAACGAGAAGTCCCAGAAGGCGGAGCCGGCCGGGTCGAGCGTGCGGTGGCGCATGCCGTAGCGCGAGCCGCGCACGTTGCCGAGCCACACGTCGCGGCCGGCGCGCGCCAGCACGGCGGGCAGCGAGGTGTTGCCCCGCGCGATGTAGTCGTCGGCCGAGCCGAAGGCGCCCGACAATAGCAGCACCGGCCGGCTGCTGTTCCCCGGCAGCCGGAACAGCGTCAGCACGTACCCGTCGTCGGTCGTGACCTCGTACTGCTCGCACTCCAGCCCGTTGCTCGCCGCCATCTGCGTGAAGTTCTGGATAGTCCCGGCCCGCGCTGCCGGCGCGCACGCGAGCGAGCATATCAGGAAAAAGACAACTTCGACCGTTGCCATGGTTTTGGCGCGCCACGTGACACGCTCGTCGCTCGCTGATTGACGTATCTCGGCCGAACCGAAAGTAAAGCAAAATCGGATTCGACTTCTTTTATAGCGTCGTACGAATTGATTAATGATTAAAGATGTACAGCCGAACCCAAAACCGAATAAAGTGGATTGTCTCATTTGAATTATTCCGACCGCTTGAATTTTCATATCGGCGTAAGTGAGCCGACCAAGGTTGGACATAATATAGCAATATGTTAAGACCCCCGATGTCTTTCCCGATCCTAGACAGATTGACGTTTTTCCACTTTTATGTGCCCCTGAAGATTTACATGTGTATTTCTTTTATAATTGGTAATGTAGTAGTAGTCTACGTGAAATAAACATTTTATCCCTTTACATTAACCGCCATCCTAACCGCCATAAATGATTATGATTATGATATGATGATCCATATAATCTGTTTGTAATGAGGAGTATTAGTATTATAACGTGTCAGTTTGTGAATGATTCATACTTCGGTACTCACGCTCTCGTTTTGACTGTACTGTTTTTGAACACTTGTATAAGCACACTATTATTCCGAGTCTCGCCCATTTTTTTATTTAAAAATTATGATTTAATAGTTATTAATTTTAAGGGTTAAGAGTTGCAACCCAAACTAAATTTTAAATTATAAATCACTTGAAAAAATTTAACCGTATATGAACAGTTATTCTAATAATAGCATTTTTTATTATCAATTTAAATTATAATTTGACACAAGGTTTAATTAATATTACTTCTGAAAGTACACAACTATAAAATATTTGTCGATTAGTAAAAATCATCTTAGTATGTATCTACTTATATGTTTAAAAAAAATCAAGTTATCACTATTTATGATAATTAGATTAATTAGAGAAGAAACGTTCATATTCAACCGTGTGCGCCTTTTAAGAAGTATGTTTGAATTAAAATGTGGCCTATGTGCCATTAAGACTAGTATTTCTTTATGTTAGTCATAATTTAGTAATTAAGTAGCCAAAATGCGCTATGTTACGCATGCGCTCGCTGACAACCTTGAATATCACTTTAATTGACAATGCTATTATAATAACAGCTGTAATAACATATTGAAAACAGATAGGCATTTTTATTAAGGTTTATAAAACATCCACAAAACACTAAACCGTAATTATTTTCAATTTTTAAAAGAGTTCGTCATGTGAAAATCCCACTAATACATATTATAAATGCGAAAGTTTGGATTTCTGGATGTTTGTTACTCTTTCACGCAAAAACTACTAAACGGATGTTTATTTATTTATTTATTTATTTATTTTATAGAAACCAACAGCGATATATATGTTGATAAAACTTTACAGTATTATTGTTTATAGCCAAGAATAGGCTATAATTTATGACGTTCTGTGACAAAATAAATTTCACGCGGGTGAAGCCGCGGGCATGTTAGATAAATTAATTGATCTGAAATAAAATAATAAAAATAATAATAAAAAACTTTATTTCCGAAAGGTACACAACAAATTCAAAAAGTTCACTGGTGTAATTAAATCAATTGGATAACTTAAGATTAAATGGCATAAAATCATCATTTAAACTCATTTGACGTAAAACACCAGCGATATAATATTGTTTTCAAATCTATTAGGTATTTAATCCTATCCATAAGTTATTGATTTTAAACATAACCAAAATTAACGCCGCCATATTATAAAATGACATATCACATACAGGTTGTCCCAGAATGGGTGAATCAAACTGCTATGGGAGGTAGCTTGACCTCTAACCTGCCGTTAAAAATAGTGATGATGCTAAAATGAGTTTAAAATCATCATCGATTTTTAAATAATAAATAAATAAATATCCTTGGACATGGACATTTTTACACTGCGCTTCTAGTCCCAAACTAAGCAAAGCTTGTACTATGGGTACTAGACAACGGATAAAAACATACTTAAATACTTTTTTTTTTTGTAAATACATACATATTATGCATAGAAAACACCCAGTCCAATACAAACAAATATGTTCATGCACACAAATGTTTGTACTGTGCGGGAATCGAACCCGCTACCTCCGGAATAGTAGTCCGTTTCGTACCACTACGCCAAACGGCCGATGTTTTCGGTTCGAAACGGATTTATTTATGACGTTTACCTACTTCACGCTCTTTCTATTTTTAAACTGGGATGCGCTTGGAGGAATAGTTTGGGTGCGCTTCATTAGGTGCGGAGCGCTTCTAGGAATACCTCTGTCTTAAAACTTTTTGTTATACACCTATTGCAAACAAAAGAAAGACTCAAATAAAATTGGACCTAGCCCAGTGTTAGGAAGGCTTCAGTCATACATGTAGACATCAATTGGTTTGCCTTTCAGATTTCTTATCGAATATAAATACATACATAGCATATAAATTCATCAACATGCCACGCCTTATTTATTTTGATATTGATCAATTAGTCTTTTAATTAAAATTAAATTACTCACTCATCCATCACATGCATTAGGTGAAATTGAGGTGAAATTTAATCACAGTTTTAGGTAAAAATGCATTATCTTGACTTCAGTCAATTAACTGTTCTTTGTTTGCTTTTGTCAATAGGTAAAGAACCACTTTAATTTGTACCAAACATTTACTAGCTTATTTTTTATGTCAGCTAGTACCTAAGTCCTTTTAAGTCTGATCAAGGGTATCTGTCAAATAATTGCTTTTACACGTGATGTTCACGTTTGACGTTTTTTTTTTGCAACCGAAATCAATCAATATCGCTAGAAGGTAAATTTTGAACAGTGTCTAATTTGCAAATGTTTGTGCTTATAGAATAGTCCGTCGCCTTGTATGCGACCTTTTCGACCGAGGTAATTGTTTTGTTTAAATAGGCACATAATATGACATAAAACTAGTGCGAATTGTACAATTATGAATAAATAACTTATTCGGTAGGTAAGTACATAAACGACTTTAGATAGATATGTATTAAAATAATCAGAAAAACTAAAGTATGCTAGAAGTAACATTCTATTATTGACATAGGTCTTAACGCAAATTATCCTTAGATGATTATCTACAGCGTAGTAAGTTGTCACAAGAGGCATCTTTTGAATCATAAAAAAATATTTAGTCTTAATTAGTTTTCATTTTTGAAATATCATATTTTTGTATTAAAAATAATTATTTGCGATTAGTACTAGCTTTGCATTGAGATTATTCCGGATATACCTACCATACCAGGATATTCTAATTTTAATACATTGACACTGCGACCAACACATAGTGTCACTGTAGGTTCAACACTTCAACCTATAGTGACACATCGGTCTCTTAGAAAAACGTCGTGTTTATTATTTTACTACTTTGTGTTGTGTGTCCTTGACCGATACGGATACCTCCGCTGTCTACTGAATAAGATTATGTAAGTGAATTTTTTCAAGCTATATAATTCAGTCATTGTATCGGTGCACACTTTTCAGACGCAACATTCGGATCCATAATGAGAAAAATACGTATCGAAAAATATATTTTAATATTTGTGACGGTCAATTTGTCAATCTACGGTTCAGAATCGGGCAGCACGGGAGCCCACCCAAACGGATGGATACCGGAGGACGCATTTTTGAACTTCACGGAGCTGGCGATGAAGTACGGGGTCGGGCCGTGCGAGGAGTACGACGTCACGACGGCCGACGGCTACGTGCTGGCGCTGTTTCGGCTGCGCGGCGCCGGCCGGCCCGCGCTGCTGCTGCACGGCATCCTGGGCTCGGCCGACGACTTCCTGCTGCGCGGCGCGTCCTCGCTGGCGCCGGCGCTGGCGGCGCGCGGCCACGACGTGTGGGTCGGCAACGTGCGCGGCGGCCGCTACTCGCGCCGCCACGCGCGCCTCGTGCCCGACCGCGACGCCGCCTTCTGGGACTTCGGCCTGCACGACCACGCCTGCTCCGACCTGCCGGCCATGATCGACTTCGTTCTCCAGAGGACCGGACACGCGGCCCTCCGGCTCGTCGGCTACTCGCAGGGAACGACCGCCTCGTTCATTTTGATGTCCGCCGAGCCGGAGTACAATAGGAAAATCAGCGTTTTCGTCGCCGTCGCTCCGGTGGTGTTCTTGAGTGACCTGCCGTCGCCGTTGCCTTTGATTTTGCCGGCTCGCGATTCGGTGGACGTCCTGTTGCGATCGCTCCGAGTTAACGAGATCCTCGGCTTCTATTCGTTGAGCAAAGCGTTCCTCGAGCAGCTTTGCCGTCACGGATCGATCGGCTACCGGTTGTGCTTGAACTTGATTTTTCCGGTCATCGGCTACGACCCGCCCGAGTACGATCCTGAATTTATTTCCGTCCTTTTCGGACATTTTCCGACTGGGACGTCGAGGAAAAATTTAATGGACTTTGCGCGATTGGCTACGACGGATGTTTTCGGACGAACCGATCGCAGACCGGCGATGAATCGCGTTGCATATAGCTCGACGTCTGTGCAATACTACGATTTAAATAATGTGAAGGCAGAAACCCATTTGATCACCGCTAAGAACGACAAACTTTCGAGACTTAACGACGTCGCTTTGCTGAAGCAGAAACTGACCAATACCGTTCACGACCATCTCATGGAATCTCCTGCTTTCTGTCATTTCGACTACATTTGGGGCAGAGTGGGACATAAAGTAGTTGCCCAAAAAATATTACAAATCTTTGATGGGCAGGCATAATTTAGTGGAGTGATTTTATGGGTGTAATGCCCGTTTTCACAATCAATCCCTAATTTTTAAGTGACCCCTATGGTAACATATACACATAACACGCATTTTATTTTCATAGGGGTCAATTAAAAATTAAGGGATGATAGTGTGACTTTATAATTGAGTATTTGACACGATAAACTAATAATTCCAAGGCATAACTTCTGAAAAAGAATGAATCTCAATTAATTTTCAATTAACCGTAAAATAAGATTCGACATAAGTAGTGTCTTTAAAACAAAATAACTTAAACGAGTTGTTGAATACGTGTTAACTACCATACAAAAGCCTACTCCCTTAGAAAATGTTATGTCCCTAGTCCCTTAGGTTAGCGTATAGGTTCTAAGATAATTTTAAGATATTTATTTGGTTACTGGCATAAATTGTTCTGAAGGTAAACTTTTACGTACGTTTGTTGAATTTTTAATAGGTTTCTTGTTATATTCGAGGTTATGTATACTTGTCGGTTTGTTTGGACATAAAAACAATAACTTTCAACAGTAAACAACTTGCGTATATCTTTCTTATGCTGTCAGTAAATTGTGTACATTGCCCGCGGTTCTACTGTTCAGTTCTACTGGATAAAACCACGGAAAAAATGATTTTTTTATAACTTGCAGAGGGAGGATTATGATTGTATATGGCTACCACTGAAAAACTTAATTATTAGTGATAGTAGAACTAAGCTATAGGATAATGGGGCATGGTATATTGCTATTTATTATTTAATATATTTTTTAAAATCCACTCTCTTGATGTCCCCCTCTTCTTTACAGCTGAGATGAGACATTTTGACTCTTTTCAGACCAACTCCGTTGTTTTATTATCAACCTGTCTCCTCGCACGCTACCCCGTCAACAACAGCTAGTGAACCCCAGCCGTGTTGCAGGTCTGATAATCTACGTGTCATACGGCGCTTGGCACAGTGCGGAGCGGCGCCGCGCCGTCGACGTGCCAATGGCGGAGCTTCACAGCGACAGCCATACGGCGCTGCTTGAGCATGCTGCGCTTGCGCACACGGCGCACGCGCTCGGCTGACCGTCGGCCCCCGACCCCGCCGTCGTCAGCCCCAGCGGTACTGTCGTGTCTTTTATATCAAGTATTTGAAACCTCGCATTCACTAGAATAGTTAGTTTAAATTTTGTATTGTAGTCTGACATTTTGATAGGATTGCACCGACCGTAGTCAAAGATTTGAACAGCGAGGATGAGCGATCTTTATGAGAGGTATGAATGTTTTGCGACAATTATCGAAGAACGATTGCGCCCAATGAAATCAGGGCTTACATTTTTGAGTTTAATAAAAACTCATGCCGGCGTATAGCTCGATTACTAATCATTAGCCTGGGCTGGCCAGACCACCCACCACCACCACAATACCCCCCTCGCTTGACTAACATAACGCATACTACGTGTCAGTCAGCAGTGGCTGCGATCTGGTGTATTTCTCGGCTGACATGCAGTCCGCAAAGACTCAAATTCTTCAGTCGCTAAACGCATCGCGCATGTTTTGTTTCGGTAGCGTATGATAACAACATTTTCTGTGGCATGGAAATTGAGCGGTAATAGCTGCTATAGCACACGTGCTCGTCCGCTCCACGCCTCCATATACACATGTGACTTGTGTTGTGACGTTTATGTATTTCAATCATTGGAATCCAAAACACGTTTTCGTATTACGTGGTAAACAACATGATTGGATCACACGTACGTACCGATACTTTTTCATGCGTTTTTCACGTTGCTGTGCACTGGGGCTGAAGGATCAGGGCAGATCTAGAAGAATCTCTAAACATTTTTGCTACCACCAAAGTATTTAGGGACACTTATGTTGTAGTATTATACTAGGTTTAAGTACTTAAGTTGTGCAGTATTTAAAATATGACCCTTGGCTGTGAGATCCTACTTACAGAAGACCAATAATTTGGGCAATCCATGTACTTATTTAAGGTCTCGTAATATTTTTTAATGCCTACAGATTTTCTGCCACTCAAATATGTACCATGTACATATGTCTAAAAGTGCGATAGGTCAATGCTCAAAAGTGGCATTGAGATATTGCCGATTTTCCATACAAACTAAATATGAAGGTTGTTTTGATTCGTTATATTATTGTCAATGGTTTGTGTAAGAATGCGTAAATAGATAGTTTGTTAGCTTCTGCTTAGCGAAATTGGTAATTGTATTTATTGTCACTGCCCATGAAGCTATATCGTAGTTAGATAAAATTTGTGTTGATGTGAGGCTGTCAGCAAGAATGCTGTCAAGTATTTTTTTATCTTGGTTGTCATTGAATATAGAATTAATTTATTATATTTTGATTACGTAATTTATTTATAAAAATAATTAATTTTTGGCATTTATGTCATATTGGAATATCATTTATGATCCTGTACTTATCATTAATGCATTTAATGCAAGTATAACAATTTATTTACCTTATATCTATTTACTTTTATGTGATTCATGTGTAGTGAGAATTATTATGGCTTAATAAAATGTTGGTAAGTAATGTGTAGTATTTTTGTTTTCGAGTAAGTTTGAAAATAGTGTTATTTAAAATAATTAATCCTCTATTTCTACAAGCACGTTGTTCCCTATCACCTTCAATTAAAATAATGTTGTTTGATAACTTGAAAATAAGGATATTAGGAGGAGAGCGGAATCTGAATAATTTTGGAAAACAACACATTTTTATTGAATAGTCATTTAATATCATAAAGTAAATATGTCGACTTTTCTGATAAATCACAGTTAATTATTAAAAGTAATAGACACACAATTATTGTCTAACAATAATTTCATAAATATCACATTCAAGTTATCAACAAGCACAAAAATATACAGATTTGCTATAAATTCTACTGTAAACTGAGCAAAAAGTTATTATGTACGATTTTACCTGAAATGGCGCAGCATAGCGATTCGCTACGACACACCACCCGCAAAAGATCGTGCAATAACTCATAAAATGTATTTGATTTTTATTTCTTTTGAAATAAAATCATCGGCTATGGTTGAAAAACACTACCTTTAAATGACGTCAAACGTAATTATTTCCATACAAACCATGGAGAAACAGCGTCCAGACAACTCATTAAGGGTAGATACTCTCAACACAGATGTATTGCGTGCTGATATCCGATTCCGTATTGTATAAAACTAGCGCAATGTTGACTCCGAGTCTACGTTTACAAAAACGTCGTAAATGTCACACACTGCGTGACTTTTCTGACATAGCGAATGCATATTTTAACTATTGTCAACACAGTAAATTATAACATTTAAATCACAATTATGGCTAATTTACAGATATTCTTAATTAAAAGATCAATAATTACGTATTCAAATAATATCTCTCTTAAAAACCTGTAAGTACTATTCAATATATCACGCACAGATATTATCTCTTTAAGAGAAAAAAAATTATAAAAATATGTATTGAAACTCTTTCTGTATTATTAAAATTTCTGCATGTATAGAATCTCTGTGTCTACAAATCCTATACAATAAGCGACGTTTGAACAGTAAACTATTGTCGACAGAACATATCAAATAACTAATTAGTGAATTAAATTCTAGAATCTTTTGAACACTAGCAGAAGCCTAATGCCTAATGCTGGTCGAACACGGCACGGCTTAAGGCTATATCAACTGCCCCATACAATTTCTGAAACAGAGTCTGTGTAACGAATACACAAGGGGATCGGTAATCAAATAACGAAGTAATCAGTAGTTAACTAATTCACCCAAATTTTCGCATATTGATGGCGGCCTTCATTAGACAGACTAGAAAACAAAAATAACTCACGACAGTTAGTACTCTAACATTGATCACTCCTATCGACCTTATATCTATTTCACTTTTAATTATCTAGTTTATTAGAGGCAAAGACGAAAACATCCATATCACTGCCATTCGTATGAAGATAACTAAATTAACGTTAGTCATTTAGTTTTTGTAAAACCTTGAATTCTGTGATTTGCAGGCCAAGAGCGGTACATGACCCACCTCTGTGGCCCGATTGTCAATATAAAACTATTTACCTTATTTAAAATACACAAATTACATGGCAAAATTACCTGTATCAGGCAGCACGTTAATTCTTAACTTACTAACGTAAGTCTACGGGTATCGACGTCACATCGATCTACACCCCAAGTAAAGTAAATGCTATGACCTATTTACCGGCGCGTCAGAACTTGGTGGTGATCTGGTGCTTGGTCTCGGTGGTCTTGCCGTTGGTGGCCGCCTTGCCATTGGTCGCCGTCGCCGGGAGACTCTTCTCGTTCAGAGAGCTGTTCCTTATGCCGTAAATGAAGTAGATCAGGTAACCTAGAAGAAATATTCAATACGAATATAAGCCCGAGATCCGGGAGAAATCAGGTAACTTGGAAGAAAGATTCAATACGAATATAAGTTCAAGTTCCGACAGTGTGATGAGCACGAGGTAAGGTAATACGTAGGTAGTCTTAGATGTCATATGATAGTATCAATTTAAGTAATTTTTTGTCATCATAATCATGTACACGTAAGCTTTCTTATTTTTGCTGGTAATTAGATAACGGTTGGTTATGTTATTAAAAGAAAAAGTAAACGACTAGTACTAGTAGACACTATGTACATAATAGTGTTTTAATCGAGTCACGTCAGATCGCTCGTCACGTTACCTTCAGCGTAAAGGTGCGTCCTCGCCGGACGCATGGGCTTGCGAGTCACGCTCGTCATCCTGCTCACTCAAGAGCAGAGCGAGCAGGATGAAGTGTCTCGCGAGCAGTGTGGATGTAGCGTACCGCGACTACGCCAGATAGAAGGGTCTATTCCACTTTGATCACCTAGGTGGTCAAAGTGGACTTCAGGAAACACTTTGGACACCAAAGTTTGATCACCCAAGGATAGGAGATCAAAGTGGACTTCTCTTCCATCCATGGGTGATCAAAGAACACCAAAGTGTCGCCTGGAGTTCACTTTGATCACCAGGGTGATCAAATCCAGCCTTTATGCGCAAATTGTCAAATTGTCAAGCGGTCGCAATCTGCCAAATTCGCAAATGGTCAAATTCGCAAAATGACAAGTTTTAAAAATGTCTTTATATTACGGTTTTATATTTAAAAAAACCTTAACATTTTAATGATTAAAAGTTCTGCCAATTAATTACTTGACTTTTATTATTAAACCTAAACTCCTGGACATTTTTAAAATTTGACATTTTGCGAATTTGGCAACTTGTGACCGCTTCGTGACATTGGCAAACGTGGAAACACAATAGCCATAGAGGAGAAGAAGAAGAAGTGACCGCTTGACAATTTGCGCATAAAGGAAATCCAGGTGATCAAAGTGTAATAGACCTAGATAGGAAGGTTTGTGCACTGACCGATGACGAGCCAGATGATGAACCGCACCCAGGTCTGGTAGTCGAGCTGCGCCATGAGGTACACGTTCATGCACACGCTGAGGTACGGCACCAGCGGCACCAGCGGCACCTGCGAGGAGACACACGGTCAAGTATACTCGACGGCACATGGAATGTAAGTTGCATTGCAAAAATCTAAATATACAGTGTGAGTCACGTTAAAGTGTACATATGAAAATAGATGAAACAAGACCTATTTTTATCGATAAAAAAGAGGTCAAATTTTTTTTGAGATTTTTTAAAACTTTTTATAGATTTTTTTTCTTCTAATTACTTATTGTAAAGAAAACGTAATAACTTTTAAACTAAGCGGTATATCCTGATAAGGCAATACTAAAAAAATACATAAAATACACAAAAAAGGCCAACAAATAATAAAAAATGATACTTTTTGAAAAAAATCTGCTTTTAAATTCGTGTTTTTTTAGTTATTTGATAAATTTCTCCAAAAAATGCCCCTATAACAGGTGGTTTATATTCCTTTGTATTATTCTCTATCGTATTACCTTTGTAAAACCAAAAATCGCATGTCTCTATCCCTATGACAACATTTGCTATGATCGTATCAATTTGCGGTGAAGCTATACAATAGATCCTGACTACACAAGAGTAGTAGTAGGAAATAGTCTGGTTTTGACCACTAGACTATTTTCTCGTTCCAACCGCTGCAACTCCCGTGAAGGCAAACAACCCAACCAGTGAAGGTAATAGTCCCGGGGGAAAGTTAAACTGTCATTTGACCCACAGCTAAATTAATCAGAAGAACATAGGAGAAGTTCGAAATACATTCTTGAGTTTTGAGAATTTATTGTACTTTAGACAATAATATTACATTGAAATTGGATTGGACAGACGAGAGGGGGATACAGTGAATGGAAGCGTGAACGCGCGCGCAGACCGAATGAGATCGAACGATAGTGATGTGTGGACATCCTGTCATAGACAACTAGTGTGGTAATGGTATAGCTGATGAACTCACCTTGAAGCTGAGGTGTCGCACGTCGTGCCTCGGCTGGCGGTACAGCACCAGCAGTAGAATCACCAAAGCAGCTCCCAAAACTCCGAGCGCCACGCCCAGCCCGCTCGAAGGCGCCTCCCACCGCATCAGTGCGCACGTTGCAAGCGCTAGGACGACTGCAACAATCATCATCAACATCATCATCATTTCAGCCACAGGACGTCCACTGCTGAACATAGGCCTCCCCCAATGCTTTCCATGTTGATCGATTGGTAGCGGCCTGCGTCCAGCGCTTCCCTGCTACCTTTACGATGTCAACTGCAACAATCACGGGCAGTGTTATAACATAGAATCTATAAAAGCGGAAGGTTGATTGACTGACTCACTCATCACGAAATCTCAGAAACTTCAAGTGCTCGGAGTCTCAAATTTTGTATGGGGATTCCTTTTATGGTGCTTCCACAATCGGCGAACGGGCTCGCGCGGCACGCTGGTCATCCTGCTCACCCTGCTCTTGAGTGAGCAGGACGTCAAGTTTGCTACGCGAGCTCGTTCGCCCAGTGTGGACGCACCATTAGAATGTAGGTCCTCACTAAGACGGGATTTTGAAAAATTCAACACCTAAGGGGATAAAGTTGGATCCACGCGTACGAAGTCGCGGGCGGCCGCTAGACAGAGTGAAATAAATAAGTAATGAACAGACAACTGCTTATGCCGAATACACCGAAACCGCCAGGGACATGTCTCGAAACTGATTTTCAGCGGCCATGGGCCTTGTGTGCTACTGGCGAGTGATAGAGCCTTATATAAATTTATATGACTTTTAGCTAGAAGCGATCTTCTAGCTAAAAGTCATATAAATTTATATTGATGATGGATGGTGTAATGCCACTGGAGAGTGACGGCACGTTGTTGATAGTAGCGCCAACTGGCGAGCACAAATATGATTAGTTCTCATTGACATAACACGGTCACATTTTTGATATCCGATTGCAATCGGCAAGATTCTGACTTCGCCGTACAGCTTTTTTTCTCAAGCATGAAACTGGCTGGATTTTAATTCTGTTCTTACTATTTATTTACTTAAACAATCACTCACAGAAGATCACGATGACACACTTGGCAATAGTGGCGGAGAGCTGCGTGGGCTCCTTGAGCCCCAGCAGGTTGAAGGCCTGCCGCGCCACCGACGCCGGCGACTCCGGCCGCGGCTTCACGCCCGCCAGCTGAGGCGTGCCTTCATCCTCGTACCTGAGGACGAAAACATTCCTGTCACACTCAAAACTCAGCACATGTGCAGTTAGATGCGAAGCTGGAAGTTCAATTTCAAATTTAACCGCCTCTGTGGTCTAGTGGTAAGACCACCTGCTTCAGACGCAGAGGTCCCGGGTTCGATTCTTAGTGGGGGCAGATTTTTCTGTTCGGTTTCGTTGGTGGGAGGGTTTGTTCTAAGTCCGTCTGGCTAGCTACCACCATCTTACCTAAGTCTGTCGCCATAACAACAATGTTAACAGCATTGTTGTGTTCCGGCAGTAAGAGATAAGATAGCCAGTTCGTCCGTGGTTGAGGATTTCGGGTGAAGCTCGCTTCCACCTTCGGCCTGATCGTCACTTACCATCAGGTGAGATACAGGCCAAAAGCTTCCTCGTTGTGGATAAAAAAAATAATTCAAATAGTTTATTCCGTACATAGGCCCTTTGTAGGGCACTTATACACGTCCCAAATATAGCTTGCCCTACCACCACTTCGGGACAACATATGGGCTGGTGCTGAGAAGAAGTGGCGGAAGAAACTCAGTCACCTTTGTCAGCCTCTTTTTCAATAAAATACAGTAGGTAATTATAAATTGCTTACATGACACGCAATAAGTGCGAGTTAGGCAGATAAAATCCACGCACTCTACATTTAAATAGTAGTTTACTTTATAGTATCCTTTTTTCATAAGAATTTTCTTAACCTGTACTTTTAATTTATGAATCTACCCATTCATATAAGAGATTGTGGTATTTTATTAAACATTTTAACACTATTACCCAAGTAGACGTATCACTGCGCAGACGCTACCTTCAAATGGCACGTGGATATGAGACCGCGCGCGGGGCGAGGCTACGAAACCTACTACGCCCACACGTAGTCTAAAGCCACGTATCCACTAAAGACAAAATCTGACTCAGTTTGCGGCGACGAAATATGCCTCGCAATGAGTCGTGCCCGAGGTTGAAAAAGCGTCTCCATTTAAGAGGCTGCCTCTAGTGGAGATCCAGCTTAACCGCTGTGACCTGCTCCCAGTCAGCCAGCGGTGTCGCGGCCTGCCTTAAGGTCTAATCGCTGTCGCGTTCTCTTACGCCTACATTTCTATTCTTCAGATGCTTCAGCAGTGGTGAGTGAATGATAATAGTGTGTGTTGATGTGTAAATACCTGAGTATCAAGACACTGGTGGCGACGATGGTGTATGCGAGCAGCGTGCCGATGGACATCATGTCGATGAGCTGGTTCAGGTTGAAGATCGCCGCCATGGTCGCTGTAAAGTATGATTCAAGTTTAGTCTCTATTTTGAGGTTTTAAGACTTGCACAACATTTTTGCATAGGATTTTTTAAAAAGATATCCAAAACATTTTGGCTAGCAGCTGAATCAAAATGCCGGTAATCGTATTAGTATTCAGTAGAAAGAACATGATTCTGTAGCAAAAAATGACGCAGTCGTTAAGTACCGTGATCGACAGTGAGGTTATTGTTCTAGCACCAATAATACTGACCTGATAGTAATCCACTGAGTATAGTCGCCAGCATCGGCGTCTTGGTCCTCTGGCAGATGGCAGCGAGCGGACGGAACAGTACTCCATCAGATCCCATAGAATATTACACTCGCGGCAACGGGTATATGGCACCAATAATACGGACTCAAAATGTTGCCATACCTGATAATAGTCCACTGAGTATCGTCGCCAGCATCGGCGTCTTGGTCCTCTTGCAGATGGCAGCCAACGGGCGGAACAGCACGCCATCTGATCCCATGGCGTATAACACTCTTGGCAGCGGAAACATGGCGCCTAACAAGCTGGTGCACAGCGCGAACACCGCGCCCACCGTCACCAGCCACTTGATGGCTGGTAGACCAGCTTCCGTAAACACGTGCGGAAAAGGCGCGTCCGCGTCCTGTGGAACGTTACAGGTTTGTTTAAACCCAGTTGCTAATACATCCCATCTTTAACACTACACTGCGCGTTCCCTTGCGCAATAGTCAATGAGGGCTATCGTTTTTATACTTAACAGTTGGCACCGCTGGCGATTGACAGGACCTTACTCTACAGTGGCGCCATCTTGATGAGTGCAAATGCGATAGTCCTGCTACCACTTTAGCGCTCACAAGTTGGTGCCACTGTCTTTGCTACTAGCAAGTGACAGGACCTTACTCTACAGTGGCGCCATCTTGATGAGTGCAAATGCGATAGTCCTCCTACCACTTTAGCGCTCACCAGTTGGTGCCACTGTCTTCGCTACTAGCAAGTGACAGGACCTTACTCTACAGTGGCGCCATCTTGATGAGTGCAAATGCGATAGTCCTCCTACCACTTTCGCGCTCACCAGTTGGGGCCACTGTCTTCGCTACTAGCAAGTGACAGGACCTTACTCTACAGTGGCGCTAACTGGTGAGCGCTAAAACGATAGCCCTCATTTACGGAGCTTCACCTAAAGCCCCAAAAGTGAGGTTTACTAAACTTTTTAACTGACGTTGACAGTATTTATTTATTTACTGAGGTTTTCTTGAAATTACTTAACTCTTATCTGAAGAATAAGATTGTAATTTTGACATATTTTGTATACTAAAACTGTCAATGTGCCAATTTTAATATTCAGATAAAAGTTATTTGATGATTGGAAAAATCAGCTCTTAGACGAGCACACAATATATTTTGAAGCGCTGGAGATAGACTATTTTGAACGTTAGGTAGGTAGTTTAATGCCCGTTTTTACCATTAATCCTTAATTTTTAAGTGACTCCTACGGTAACACATAACAGGAATTTTGTTTTCATAGGGGTCACTTAAAATTAGGGATTTATGGTGAAAACGGGCATAAGAATAACAGACTATTATTTAAACAAATCACCTGCAGATAATACGGCCACATCATGGTCAGCACGGTCGCAATACTGAAGTACGACACGAATATAATGACCAAGCTAAGCACGATGGACAGCGGTATATCCCTCTTCGGACTCTTGGCTTCCTCGCCGGTGGTGGCCACGCAGTCGAAGCCCACGAAGCCGAAGAAGCACTTTGCCGCGCCTGCCATGACGCCCGCCACGCCCCACGGCATAAACCCGCCCGCGCCCGCTGATTCCCGGTACTCCGCTGGTATGTTTTCTACCTTTATCTTCCAGTTGGCTGGGTCACCTGTGTAAAACAAATTGCTCTTAGTTACAATTTCTTAGCGTTAAGAGTCGCATCTCAAAGTTATAAATAACTTGAAAAAATCGAACTGCCTATAGCGGAAATAGAACCCACGACATTAGGCCGTATACAGAAACAAAGCTGGAAACTTATAAGCGCTTACCGGCGCTTGACAGTTCTGGTAACCCACGCAGGAAAATATATGAACGCGCGCCGATAAGTAAGCACTGAATGGTGTCAACAAGTTTCGCTGGTCAGCGCTGGACGCTGCCATATAAAATGCCATTCAACTTGCTTCCTTTGTGAACGAACAGACCAACGCTGACAAGCGCTAGTAAGCGCTTATAAGTTTCCAGCTTTCTTTCTGTATACGGCCTTACGCTTGCTGGGCTCTTTCATCGAAATGAGTGTAATACGCTGCTACGGCCAGCGTTTGTTTCATCAATTTTGGGTAATACATTACCTTTAGGCTGGGTTGCACCATCTTTAACAAACGTCAAAACTCTATCAACCTCCATGCCGGTTATCGTTATAGTTACGATTAAAGTTATATATGGTGCCTTAAACATCGATTTCCTCCTTAGGCAGTTCGATTTTTTTTGTTTCAGGTAGTGAAACAATGCAGCGTTGTAGTACTTAAGAAAGTCAATTCAATTTCAATAATGTCACTTTTTAAACGTTATACGCGAGTCAATGTCCTTTATATTCGCACTTGTTTGTATTAATTTTGGTCGTGTCATGTGTAAAAATGTGTAGTCATTAGCAGTGCATAAAACTCGTCAAGCGGCTATCCTTTGTAAAATTGATACAAACCCGCTGCGTCATACAGGCGGTATAAATTGTTGATTTTATGGGTTTTCGTTTGAGCGTTTCACCGATTTCAGTTCACTGACCGGCCAGGGTGAACTTTTTGCCCGTTAGTAAAGTATCAATATGGCGGGTATGTGTGTTTACATTCATACTAAATTTAGCCTACGGCTTCGCCCGCGTTAATTATGGTCTCTGAAAGTCTTCGTCGCGTGCATATTTCAAAAACTGATATAAAACTATCCTATACCTTCCCTATGTCTCAAACTATTATGTTTATACCGGATTCCATGTCAAACGGTTGGCCCGATTCGACCAAACTTTTATCAGAGAATGTATCCTGGTATAACTGACACATTAACAGTTTCAGTATGGGAAATATGTCAAAATGTCGAATAAATGACGATTTACTCTGAGATAAATATTTACTCTTGTTTGGTCGAATCCACCCTCAGTGATTTTAGGCGTAAAAAAGTAAAAAACATGCATCTATCCTTATAATCTTTCAAATTTAGGTATTTAAGTAAGACGCATGTGTGTGATTGGGTGCTTTTGTGCTTACTCTTGACGGCGCCGGCGATGACGACAACAATGACGGTGGCCATGTTAAGCGCCGTGAACACGTTGTTGAGCTTCGTGGACTCCTTCACGCCCACGCCCAGCAAGACTGCAACGAAAACCTTTATTACATACCTTCACAAAATACGTTAACCAAAACAAGCGGCACACTGAGATACGGGTGTTTGAACCTCTAAGGACACAGGTTTAATGCATTTAAAGCACCATTTTGTTGCAAAACAGAATCTATAGCAACTTTGTAAAATTCCAACTTTTATCCTGATGTGCACATAAGCAGTAAAATTCACGATAGGAATTTATAAACATCTAAGAATCTCGCGAATGAAACCAAGGCTAATCAGTCGTATTACACGCGACCGTTGCACTGTGGCGAACCGTGGAGTAATTATGGGTTGCTTGCATTTATATTTCTTTAATTTGTAATGCAATCTATAGCCGATGATAATAAGAATTGATTAGTTATTAAGAGCCTGTGTTAAGAAACGACCGCAAGATTTCATTAAAAATCTTTGTTTAATTTCGATGTTTGGTCAAAAGATTGTTGAATATTTTGGAATGCAGCGTTATTTTAGAATTTTAATCGCTTACACATTTCTTACAATCTAGGTGAACAAGTGTGAAGTGAATTCATTTATTCTACAAGAATAACTTGCTAACTGCAAAATAATATGGAATGTATGATTATTAAACTTACTCGTGATAAGCATGACCAGCGCAAACGCGAAGAAGTCGGGATACTCCGCCAGGAACGAGACATTGATAGGCGCGACACTGGCCATGGTTTTGCCGATGGTGTTGTTGCACAGGCTGTCGATGTAGTTGGCCATGCCCTTGGCTACGCTGGCGGTTCCTATCACGTATTCCAGGATGAGGTTCCAGCCGATCGTGAACGCGATGAACTCGCCCACGCTGACGTAACTGTATACGTAGGCTGAGCCCGCTTTGGGCACGCGTGATGCGAATTCGGCATAGCACAAGCCTGGAATGGGAGATGTGGTTTTAATTGTTTGGTAGACCACCAGGATTTCGATTTACACTTTAAAATGAATATCATTATACGTAAGGTTCTCATGAGAAATAAAATTCTTAAACCGAAGATTTCGATGACGGATGCTTTAGTCAGATCTAAATGATGTAATCTGTTGTGTTTTCCAATCCAATAAAGTTAAAAAATAAAGATGTTTTCGTGAGGGCGTTATAGGTAGTGCTGATTCAAATAAAACATCGAACTTTAAAATAGGTACCAGTTTTTAATGAGAATAACCTAGCGCATGCAATAACGACCGTCACACTTCGTTGCGGTGTAGTGATCGCTGTATTAATATAATAACCTTCGGATGGCAACCGCACGCTCGAGATTAGACTGACCTACCCAAGACTCAGGTGCAATCTCAAAGCCGTCAGTAACTTGGACTGAAGCGAACATGGTAAAGTGAATACACTGGGAGATATGTGTGTTGCCAGTGATGGTATACGGATCTGTGACGTGGTCGCTTAGGTCGTTCTATGCTCGGAGTTTCCCTGCGTGATCGGGGCACATAGCTCGAAGACGTAGCGTGAGCAGGCCTCCCGAACGAACCGAACGGTGGACCGACGATCTGGTGAAGTTCGCGGGAGGTGCCTAGATGCGAACGGCGCAGGACCTGTCTTTGTGGAAATCCTTGGGGGAGGCCTTTGTCCAGCAGTGGACGTCTTTCGGCTGAAACGAACGAACGAACGAACTGGGAGATGCATTAAATCTTACCAGCAAACGCAGAAGCGATGGCAGCGACCAAGAAGCTCAAAGTAACAGCAGGTCCCGCCACGGTCTTGGCGACCGCTCCGGCCAGTACGTAGACGCCCAGCCCCAGAGTGCTTCCCACTCCTAACGCCGTCAGGTCCAATAAGCCCAGGCAGCGCGACAGCGGCGTCGCCGTATCGTCGTCCTGCAGCTGCTTGCAGCGCCGCAGCGCTGAGAAGATGCGAGCACACCCCATCTGGAACGATGAATACAAGTTACAGAATATGTTGCAGCGCTGCGAAGACGCGGGCAGTGGACACATCCTATCTGGAATCGTGAACGCGAGCTACAGGATAATAATATTATGTTACCTCGATCGGGTATCTAACCAACCAGTGGTGGTGTCTCATCGCGAATGTTCCAGGCGTCGTCATCGTAACTGCGTGACGGCTTAATTTAAATCTAAAATTATAAACTGTTATTCGTGACCGATATTAAGTGGCTTTAGTAAAAAAAATAACAATAGTTTACTTTTAACTAATTATTCATTATTATAGTAGGTACTGAGGTTTCGTATGAGGTACCTAGCGTTTGCAACGTAAACACATTTGACATGACAATTTAAAATTCCATTGTTCTATCCATCTCAATTGTGCCCAGGTGTTATTATTTTGATTCGACAAATGTTTGTATTGTCCTCCAGTCTTTCATGCTTCAAAACCGTTTGAAAATAACCGCAAAATCTTCTATTACATACATTACTTGTGCCTCAAAGCACCGCCATAACAAGCACTTGTTGTAAGAAATCGTCAAAACATTCCGGTAGAGAATGATGACAGAACGGCACGAGCCACTCATTGAATTGGTAAAATGTTTCACAACAAGTTCCTGCTGCTGCTAATGTTGGTATACACACGCGCAGTCGCATTAATTACGAAAAAATCAAAGAACAGCCTTCCAATTCGTTTCTGACCAGCCACGTTTGAAATGAAGACTCGTCTAACTTTTTGCACTAATTTAAATACCTATTTTTTGTGCGATTGTTTGAGTTGCCAGCACATCAAACAGATATCGTAAAGATGCGAACGTTTGAAGTCTTTTTAAAAGATCCAATGTCACGGAACCTACTACAGGATGAATCCTATGACAGAGTACTTGCTGTACAACAATACCATTTATCTACGCCACGGATAATAACATACGCAATTTCCACGCACCTGCTTCCGAAAATGGCCTAATCGTGACATGCCACATTGATGTAAGTCCCTAATGATATCGAATTAGCGGCTGCGCGAGCGCCCAGTGTTGCCAGTCGGGTCTAGTCAGAAATTACCAGAAATATAAAAAAAAGTAAACTTTTTGAATCAAAAGTAACCTTCATACGGGGGGGGGGGNATGATTGTGTAAGGTTGTTCATTCATGGATGGAAAATGAATACAATTGATCATCTAAATTCGAAAAGTGACCAGTCGTATAAAAACGTTTCATGGATTTGCGTTTTATTATCGAAAAACATTCGCTAAAACTCATTTTTTTTAACAAATAATAAATCAAATTCAGGTTTAAATGCACTTTATGACATAATTTTTTAATTGTCACTATTAATATTTTTTACTGAATAACCTGTAAAGTTAATTCTACAATTTCTGAAAAATCACCTAAAAGTAACCTTTTCATTAGTGTAACCTAAAAGTAACCACAGCAGTTCAAAAGTAACCTAAAAGGTTACAAAAGTAACCTTCTGGCAACACTGCGAGCGCCGCTCAGCATGAGCCTGCGCCGTGGCCCGTGACGGTCAAGGCCGGCGCAATGACAGCGCTTGTTAAGCCGGATGCACACACTTGCACACAAACATTTTCATCTGAAGCAGTCTGCGGTTGCCAACCTCGGAAATAAGTGCGTGGGTCCACAATGCAAGGAAGGAAGGTGTAGATATTAGTGTTATGGTACCGTGGGATTGTGCTTGGATAAGTAGTCGACTCGAAATGCCCTGAACTCTTCTAATTCAATTAAAGCGATCTATTTGATGTGGGAAAATGGTTTGCCATATGGTGGCATAAGGAATACACGGGTGACCTACCCGCTTGTCGAGTGTCGAAACCCCTCTGCATTATTCTATAGCTAATTAATTTACTTGTAAGTTGCGTTACATGTGACTCTTGCTTAATAAATCTCTTTATGACTAACTTATTAGCTACAGTTTAGATGTTTCGACGTCAATGTTGGCCGCGGGAATTAACACACAGGTGCGGGTTCTTTCTTTTAACTGAATAACAGCCGAAAAAGAATAGCCGTGGTGTAAAACGCACCACAGGTTAACTATGTACATTTCTTAAATATTATGGAGATATTTATTATAATTTATGTAATTTAATCTACACAAAGTATGTAGAAGGAAGTATGTTTAATGATGACTAAAATTACATATTATTAGTTCAATTAAGAAAAGTAAACACTTTATTAAAACTGTTTTTCACATTGTTCAATACCCGGTTGTACCATTGACTGCTTAAACTTTGTCAGTTACTGTATAACACCTGTTTCTACCCGCTTATTAGTCATTGAACGTTTCACAATGGATAATAAAATGTCTGACAGATGCCAACGAATTATTTAATGTAACAAGATTATTTAATATAGGTACCTACTTAAGTGCTTACCTACTTAGGTAATAAAAAATATTAGATTGCAGACATAGCTGCTTTAGACTATTTTTAAACGTAAAGGTAAAAAGGTGTTTGTCTTGTTAGTTGACCAAAAAATAAAATAAAACTGTAAGAAGTAGGTAGGTCGTAAAACGTTACGATTGGCTCCTCACGAAACATAAGTACCTGCTGCTTGGAGGCGAATTGATTTAAACGTCAATGAAACTCTTTTTGGTTGCCGCGCCAGGCAAAAGTCGAGCCACAGAATCATATGAAGCGCACGCATTAGGATGTTGGTTAGCAAAGTACGAGTTGGTACTTCCCCTAAAACGTTTACATTCAAGGAAAGGTAACGAACGACATTGAATCATACTACATACTATGCGGGCTGCATGAAGCACCCTGAATAAATAGGTACCTATTTTGTTTTTTTTAAATTAAGTAAATCGTAACTTAAAGTGTGTTTATTGGTAGACTACTTCTAACTTTGTATTTTAATTCGAAGGTGATGGAAACACACGAGCTGATAAGGTTTCTAAGAATAGAGTTGCTAATAACAAAATTTATTTTCGTACTAATCTATAGAATTTTATTCTATTTGTTTTAAAGTTAAACACTTGTTAATACCTAGTTACGTAAGAACAAACTCAGAAAATCCAAAGTAACATATTTTAAATTATAATTATTCACTTTGTGTTTAAACTATCGGATTTCTATTAAAACTTCATTCCCATAAAAAAAATTCATCAACAATTTTCAGTACCACTATTAGGTACTTCAGAAAAATATTTCTGCGATTTGAATCGGATGTAGTGCGTAATGGCCCTTATACTTAGAATATTTTAATTGAGTGAACTAAGCTAGCTAGACTAGTGTTGTCGATGATCTCATAGCGCCACTTTCTAAAATGCAAAATAATATAATCAATTTGCAGATGGGAGAGATTTAAAGTGGTAGACACCGGTTACAGACTAACAAACAACAATCTACATATACCTAATACTTTTTCCTTATAAGATGTAACTAGATGTTTGGCTAGCCCATGTTTTTTACATAATCTAACAAAAAGTATTTAGACTATCTTACGACGAGTGAGTTTTATAATACTTGCCAGAACTGGCATTCAATTCATAATAATTGACCAGCTGTGGACAGTGCCAAATATAACATAACATTATAATATAACATATAAAATTAAATAAATAAAATAAAAAAAAAACAGTGAATAAATTTGTATCCTCAAAATCAGAAATATCAGAAATACCAACTCGTAGAGATATTAATGGGATCTGTTATTAAAAAAAAAAGGTTTTATATGTATAACGGGTTTCAAGAGATTTTCGACTTCGATTCCTTGCATCGAGGTCGAAGATAAAAATACAATTTAAAGGCATGTGTCGATTACCGTAAACTTCATAAAATTTTATTTCAACGCGAATTATATTGCACGCTTCGAATAAATGTTCAGAAATATGCTAAGTTTGTTGTACTAAAATACTTGGTAACTAATGGTTCTATTTAAAAACAGAATTAAAAAAATAATTCTTACTAAAAAGGCCCAAAAGAAAAGGAATCTCTATTATCAAGTTCCAAATCTAATGCTGGAGTAGACGAAGGCTAGATAATTAAGCTTTATAACTCACCCCAGACAACAAACCACACTACTGAATGAAAAGTACAAAATCACTGGGTGACAGAGCCTCAAACAGTGACTGCGTATATCTTCGTCCCGTATCATTGTTTGCACGAGCGCAATCTTTCCGCCGCTAAGCCTCCGCACACTGCGCATACGATACAATAGCTGGAAACGATTGTCTGTCATTTTTATTTGAAGAAATAAAGCGATTATCTTTATTGAGTGCAATTATAAAGCAAAGGCCACGTTTTAGAGAGAAAATGACCAAAAACACCAAAACATATCTACCGCGTTAACAAAATGTTTTAACCTCTGATGAGTCGCGAGGGGTCTATTTAGAAGCCACATGACTTTGTGTCCATTTTGCGTCAAATATTTACATGTGAATTTTTTAAATCTACAGTTTTTGTAACACCAAGAGTCCCACAAACCCAACCCAAGTTTTGAAAATAATTAACGAGAATTCCCCTTTGTTCTAGAACTCTTGATTTTATAACCATAGAAGTAAAGCCTGGATTCATAATACTAGCAGTAAAACTAGGCAAAATAAGGACGATATTAATAACAAACACAACGATATCTTGCCTTCCTATTTGAATAGGATCATCTTAGCTCGCGCGTTCGTCAACGTATTAAAATAAACACCAGACTGCATAAAAGAACCAGAAAATACTCGACATTCGCGAAATGATATAAAAATTAACTTAGCATTATAAACGAGCAAAGTCACGATAAAAGCTAAGCAATACCATGAATAAATATTTTTGTATTTATAAATATCATTATTTGCTTTAAGATTTAGAGGTTTTTGGGTTGTCTGATAGCACGCAGACGACCGTGGGCTGTTGTCAGGGACGTGCAGTGACTTTAACCTTCAGATGATACTGCTAGTAGTGGAAAAAATTCCTGCCATTGATCAGAAAGAGCACACTTAACAACAAAAATGCAAATATGAAGTGCACTTTAGAAGTGAGT